AACCCGGAAAGGGGAGGGGCATCCTTAAGGTTTAAATCCTACTAATAGGCTTTTCCTTTTATTAAAATTGATTAAATTGTTTCTTCTTGGAATTGATTGTGTTGATTTCTGATTTGAAACCGAATTTTAGTTGATTTTATGTTCAAAATTCATACTAACTTCATTATTTATTGAAAAACGATACTTCAAGGAATATAAGATTTTGCTACTCTTCGTGGAAAAAAACCGTGATTTTCACACGTTTGTGAAATTAGTATCGTACTCGAGTGAAACCTGCCCGTATTCTTTTGTGCTATTGTTCCAACACGCATACTCATGTTCCTAGTAGAATTTCTTATGCCCTATCGAATGGTATATTTGGATTAGCTTGATGTCGACGCATTCTCCTGAATTTTCGAAAAATCCAAAAAAATCCTAGAATGTGCTCTGTAAAATCAAATTTTTCATCTTGCTGAGAACGGTCCCGAAAATCTCAAAATACTTTTTCTCCTATGAAATTCTAGCACCATACTCACCAAAGTCGTTGCTCTAAGTACTCCACTCATGATCGAAACACAACTTGAGTAGATCTGTTCAATGATTTCGGCAGATTTTTCATAGCTCAAAGGAAGATCCTCTGAGATTTTGTTCAGTGTTATCTTATCAGAGGTGAAGTCTGATTTCGAGCTACAGAAAATATGTGAACATGACTGGATAGAGTTCGTCGAGTTCCACTTGGAACATAGGTACAAGAGTTGAAATATTGCTTGAAATAAATATGTTCAGATTTTACTAAAAGGATTCCACGGATTCAATGGGATTTTTTCGCTATTTTTTGGATTTTCAGGAGAACGATTCAAGATCTAGTTAATCCAAATATACTATTCGGCAGAGTATATGAATTTCTTCTAGTATTGTGAGTATGGACGTTGGAACATCTGCGCAAAGGAGTACTGGTAGATTTTACTCGAATACGATGATAACTTCATCTAAACAATGATCACTTAATACTTCTCCCTGAGATAGCTTGAGTAAACTATAATCTAAAAAACGCTACTATACTTTAAGCGAACAGATAGTCAGCGTCAACGACCGTGCACGAAAGTATACGATAGAAAAACGGCAAACCTTTCCTGAATCATTTACTGTCATCGGATACAAACTCTTACTGTGATATCCGACAGTCGTTTACGGTTAGCGTTTAGTTACGATGGCCGTTTACGGAGATTTTTCACTTCGTTTACAATAACAGTAAACAACTACAAAATACGGTCGCCGTTTTTCATCGTGAGTGATAGGTATACGGCCGTTTACGACTCAGGATGGTCGACCTGGGAAGCTATACATAAAAGTAAATCGGCTAGTAGACAAAGAAAGACAATTTGAAAAGTAGAACGTTTGAGAAAATAAAAGCTTCTGTCATAAATTCTCATTTTGAAAAAATATTCATAATGTTATTCTTCTAATTTTCTTAATTTCAACTTGTCACAATAAACAAGCTAGTTATGATTTGTAAAATTTTCAATGGATCAAGAAAAAATTAGTCCATCGAAATTATGCTTTCAGACGACATCATAGATCATTCGATTCTTTTTTGGTGTGCTTCCTATAGTATTGCTTCATCTTGATCGGAAAATATTCAATAGTCTTATGAGTTCGTTTCATGTTTTAGAGAAGTTTTATTGCTCTATAAGTCTTTATAATTTAAATAGAATTTTATTTACAAAAATCCAGAAACTGAAACCTAGTGATTATATTTTCATTTTTATCAACGAATGAATACATTTCAAAAAAATCACTGCCCATATCGAACAGTCCGGCCTGGAAACGGCTAGTTCCGGTAGTTCCGTTGACTTTGTGGAAGCAGTATTCCGGTTGGAAATTTTCCGGTGATTTCCGATGAATTCGTGCCGGAAAGCACCGGAACTTGGCAGGAATCCGCCGCAAAACTTCGTCCGTATTTTTTATCGGAATATTGCTTCCATGTTCCAACAATGTCCTGTGTCTTCCTGCAGGATATGGTGACTTTCCCGCATATTTCCTGAAGTATCCCACGGGATCCGGTGGTCAGAATGTTCGACCTGGGTGCAAAATTGTTATTAACGTTTATGATATTGCGAGAAATTCATATTATATATGGACGAGTAATTTTCGAATCTACTCTATGTCTAGTACAAAGATTGCTGTTACCAAAACAGAACCTTTTTATAGCCACTGCGTCGCGCTCTTTCAAACATCATAAAAACCTTCATTAAAAAGTCAATCTGATCTTCAGATAGAGTGTAAAAATATTAACATTAGAGAATTCACTCATGTAAACAGAAACATGCTGTTTCTGGCTTGACATGAATTTCAAATTATTTTCATGGAGGATTTATCTTTATCCAAGAATTAATCGCTAAAAATAAATAACCTTCTTATGTAAGGTCAAGATTTCGATTTCTCTTTCCATTGTTTAGAATTCTATTTAACGTAGGTTTTTAAATACTATAGGATCACTTCGAACAATTAGACAATAGAAACATCAAGCGGATATTGACTTTCATTAACTTCAAGTTAGTATAGTTCTGAACGTAAGTGAAGTTCTTTCTATTAAAATTTTGAAATTAAAATATCGTCTATAAGGGAAAGTTCTAAATGAGCAAATCGAAATCAAGTTGAGGCTGAAACAATCATTGTTTATATTGAAGTATTTAGTTTTGTGAAAGCAAGTAACTGATCTGAACAAATTTAAAACATATTACGAAATAGTTTTACAATTAGAAAACATCGTCATAATGTGAGGATGAGTCAACAATTTGTATTTTCTTATTCATGAAAAGGTCATCAAGTTTTAGAGTTCACTTTTAAAATTTCTTCTAGACAATTTGTTTCTCGTCAACTGATAGGTAATCTTCTCATGACTATATTTAGTTTGGATATTGTTTCTATCTGTTTCAGTTAGTTTCATATTGCTTTAAAAATAAATTTTTATCATCATATTCTTGTTATACATTTAGTGTCATTTAGTGTAAATCTTTCATGTAAAATTAAAAACTAATCGTGTTACGTTGATTAACCAAAATTTATCATTAAAAAGACCAAACAAAATGAAATATTAATTCAATAAGAAAAGTCGTAGAAATAGGTTAAACTAATAGAATATGTATGAAATATCGTGAGTGCTCATCCATTTATTTTCTCATTTCATGTGTGAAAAAATTCTCTTGAGAACACAATATCTTGTAATAAAATATGTAAGCTGATTATGTTATCTCACCCACACTTTTTATTTAAATAAAGTTCATTTCATAAAGATTACCAAGTCTATTTTCAGCTATCTCAAACAACGAAGTCCTGTGCTTGTTTTAAATAATAACGTGATTGCAACACTTCGTACAAACAAAATATAGCTGGGATCACCTACTAAAACACATGTGTTTGTAAATTTTGTTTTTAATCCAAACCAAGATCAATCTAAGAACTTTCAATGATTCTAATTTAAAAAGTCTACTGAAATTAATTCCTAATGATAACGATACCAATGAATTAATACTAATTGGCCTTTTTTTTCAAACCATTCTTGTCAAAAACAAGCGACTTGAGATGATAATCAATATAAGTTTTTTTCAGACTGTAAAACGTGCCACAGGCGGATTGTTTGATTCCTCCAAATATAAATAGAATATCACAGATTAGCGCTACTGTCTTGGGGAAATCGCTAGGTTAAAGTGACCTTTGAAAATTTAGCATTCATTTCACTGAATCTATACAGTAGAGAATCAACTACAAAATTTTTGGCTGACTCATGTGCAATATGATTTTCATTTTCCGAACAGTCGAATTAAAAAATAAGATGCGTATTATTAGCCGATAAATTTATATGTCAATCTATATCATTGTTATTTACAGGTTTGTTTTTGTTAGCATACAATAAAGTGAATGAATACATAGAAGAAAATGATCAGTATGATTGATTGATGATTCTTATTTTATCATTCAGTTGATAGACAAAAGCGTCTTTATTTTATAACAATTTAAATTAATTGTATACAACAATACTGATGTAATTGAAATCTATCTTCAATGAAAAAAAACATACTTATCGGCTTGTCGATTAGATAGAGTAACTAAATTTAGAATAATAGATTAATTTAACATAACTTTGAGCAGAGTTAGAGAAGACAGATATTATTAGATCTACAGAAAGCAATACAATACGGAATTATGATATTCGATGGCATTTCTTTTGTATATAAAATAATTATTGAAACTAAAAACAAGATAAAATATATATCATTCCGACATCAAACAGTAAACAAAAGTTGAACTATTTTTATCTTATAAGTTCTGATAGTAAATTTCATATACATATGTAGAATATTAGACAACTTGCTATTCGTCAATGTATGATTACAAAATAATATTGAAATTAATCATCGGTTAAAATGAGATTGTATGATGTGTAAATAAAATCGAAAGCAAGAAAGCATGTTTCTGAGTGTTTCAATCTTGCAAATGAAGTATTTTGACGTCACTATTTGAAAATACAAGAACAATGACGCATATGAATCTCAAATTTTCCCTTTTAATCCTGAATTATATTTACTTTATTATTCAGAATCATTTGTATTATTTCATGCTTGCGTAACAAACAATATAAAATGAGAAATAATTATTTTCTATATATATAGAGTAGTTGAGTGGCAGCCATTAATGTCGCTCAGTCAAGCCGTTCGTTTTGAAACTGGCGACCTCATATAAGAAATGATAGTAATGGTTCACGTGCGCATGTTGTTATTGACCCACTTTTTTGTAATCTTCAAAGCTATTTTGAAGTTAAGCATCACCAAAAAATAAAATAATTCAATATTTTTACAACAGTTGTTTTAAAAAACTCAAGCCAGAGTTCAATTAAAATTTATGAAATACAAAAATGCAATGTTTTGATGTATAATAGTTCGAAGTTCGAAACCTGATTAGCTTTTGTCAAATTAATTTTCGAAAATAGAATTTATTTATTTTTATACATTTTCAAAGAGATGTGTGCTTCGTCATGCAATCAATCTATTCCTCCTGAGTAAGATTACATTTGTAATAATTAAATAAACTATAGAAATACTATTCTCTTTTTTTTGTTATAGAGTTCAACAGAATGTTTCAGTACCAAGTGTAAAACGAAAGTTTATTGGTAATTATTCATTGAAACCCAACGATCATACGATAAACATATTACAGTGGAATATTCTTGCTCAAGGTATTTCATTTTAAAATAATAACAACACAATGATTATTTAATTGTGATATTCTTTTAGCCTTATCATATTCAGAAGGTAATTTTATTCGTGTAAAGGCTGAAATAGTTGCGTATGAAACTCGTAAATGGCGAATACTAGAACAAATACTTGTACATCAACCAGATTTATGTTCATTGCAAGAAATGGATATATATGATTGTTTTCTTAAAGAACAACTACCTAAATATGGGTAAATAAGAGAAATGAATGTATTTTTGTTTTTGTTTAATCAACTTTTTCTGTTGTTGAAGATATACCTGTTTTTTTACTCCAAAACCAAATTCCAGATGTCTGTCATTCGAAGATGATCTAGACAATTTCAAAGGTCCAGACGGTGTTCTACTCTGTTATAAAAGTAATCTATTTAGAGAAATCAGCCGAAATAATTATGATCTACCTAATGATGGTCGATTTGGACGACAAGTATGTATATACATATATATATATATATATTTATATTGAATTGTTTTAATATAACAAAATTAAATCCTTTTTTCCAGATATTTTCAAGTTTTGAATTAGAATATATACCAATAGCTTGTCCTATCGTACTTATTGGTACACATTTTAAAGCTAAAAAACAATTTGCAAGATCTCGTATAAATCAAGCAAATGCATTAATCGGATTTTTAAATAAAAACTATACAAAAAAAACAAATGTTATTATTGCAGGAGATTTTAATGGTGAAACTGACGAACCATTTTATGATATATTATTGCAATCTGGTTTAAATAGTGCATATAGACTTTTAATGAATAATAGTGAGCCACCTTATACAACATGGAAATTTAAATCCCGCGAAGACAGACATGAAAAAGAAGAATTTCGAACAATTGATTATATTTTTTATCGTTCAGAAAAGTTGACCCCCATTGCTTATTTGGAATTACCAACTAAAAATGATATTGGCCCTGATGGTCTTCCATCAGCCAACTATCCATCTGATCACTTAGCTCTTCAATCGATATTTCTAATTCATGCGTAGCATCTGCATGATATAGTTTGTATATAAATGTATACATATATATATATATATATATATATATATATTGTTCGTATGTATTCTCACATTGCCATGAAAACGAAACAATGTTTGCTTTTAAATATACACTTGGTGTGAACAATTACAACAAATAGAAGAAAAAAAAAGAAAAACTCAAATACAAATTACAACAAAACAAAACGATCAAAGTTTTTAATGATTTTTTTTCAATTTTTTTGTGTATTATTTTAATTTTGATCACAGTAAAACAGAAAAAAAAAGAAAAAGCAAAACAAACATATTTATGTCGAACTCGAATAATATATTCGCTTTAAAACGATCTGAGTAAAAGAAAACGAAACAAATGCACAAGAACAACAGTAGCTGAGAGAAAATGTAGAGAACGATAGATTAACATCACCGGTCATGTGGAATAGAGTTTACGAGATCTATCCTCGATTTTATTCCTATTCTTTGCTGATACAAAGAAATATCTATCGAATAAACCATAGAAACCATGATTTTTCAATCTCACATTTCATTCTAAATATCAAAATTGGTTTCTATAATTGATATTATTTTGAGAGAGAAGCAAAAATAATAAACGATTCTTACGCATCAATATTCTTAATTTTTTGAACATGTCTCATAATCAATTATATTAATATAACGATTGTTATCACATTGTCCACGTAATAAACCACAATAATTTTTATATAAATATCCATCATCACCACATGCCGCGATGTTCATACTACATTCACCGCTATGAGTAAAAAATCGTCGAGAAAATTGACAACGTATGCAAACCGGACGAGATTGACGAGAATATACACAACGCTCATATGGTTGACATAAATTCGGTCGACATTTGGTTTCTATTGATTTTAAGCAAACGAAAGAAGTCATAGAAATAAAGAAAGAAAACGTATTGTCTTGTTAAACTGCTTACCACAAGAACCTTTATGTGCTAATTCAGGTGTTCGACCTTGGGCATCTGGACTAAGACGCATAGCGCATACATTCTTATACGTAACACCATTTGTGCCACAAACTAGTCCAGGATCTAAAGTTGGATTGCAATGTTTTTTTGGATAACAAAATGGTTCACCAGTATTTTTAACTAATAAACAAACTGTATCAGATGGACATTTAACATTTCGACAATCTCCTATTGAGATTTAAAAAAAACATTTTAATAAAATTTTAATAAAATGTTTTTCTTCTTCTTACGTTGACATTCTCCATCATACTTTTTGTACAAACCAGATTGCTGTTTAAGACATTTCCATGCTGCCATAGCACATTCCGACGCATATGTTATATTATTGGATGCGCATAATGGCTGATTATATTTTGATGATAATGAATTACTTGAAGTACAAGATTCTTCACTACATACACACATTTCTTCTCCATTGATCCATTGACATTCTTGACCAAGACCACAATCAATATCGCATCGTTTTGGGGTAGCTATTATTTAATTAAATTTATATTAATAGATGTAATATAGTAAATACAATTAATTATATGAGCACTCCATATTACTTACTATTTATATCACGACATTTTTCAGCGTATTTATATCCATCTAAATCTTGAAGAATATCATCTGAATAATAAAGACCAGAACATTGATCTTCATTTACATTGTCTTCAGTAAGATCATAGCACATATCATTAATACGATGATTAAAACAATTGCCAGCTATAGAAACGAAAAGAAAAGAAAACATTTTATAATTACTTCTATTTTGACCGTTAACACATGAGTCACCGATTTGTTGACCTGTATATATGTATATATGTCAACGTTCTGGAAACAGGAAGAGGGGGAATAGGTGCCCTGTTCTTTTTTTTATTTATTCACACCTATTGTTCCTTTTTTCCAATCAGTAATATATCGGTTTAATGTCTCCTACTTGATCTTATTTCTTATTTCCCTTTCACGTTGCGTGCACTGTGCCCTTGACCCATTCTATATCTTCCTTCACTCATTATACATTTTGTGACACATATACGCCCATATACGCACGTCACTCAACGGTCTTGAATATCATCAATGTACACGGGTCTACTCTATGAAAAATGCGGATGAACGACAAAAGGAAGGATAAAATAAATGAAGACATGAATCATTTCTAATAGATATGATACTCAAATTAAATTTTTATAGGTTCAAAAAAAAAGCAAAATAAACACTTCTTTTCCTTTAAAGAATTGGACAAAAACAAAAAATACGATACAATAAACAATCAGGAAAATATAGCATACCTTGTGTAATTATGATATATCGATCAAAGAGAATGAAAAATGTAAAAACTGCAATGCAAACATCGACTAATAATTGAGAGGGCATTGTTAATAATAAGTGAAATAATAGATATTATTGAATAGAAACTTCTTTTTTGTTGTCAATATTTTAAATGTAAAAAGAAAATATTTGATGTGCTGTTTCGAAAGAATGATCTTTTTGTAAAATAGAGAGACAATATAAAATGATGTAGCTTTATACAAAAACGAAAAGTAATAGAAACGAGAGAGAGAATGAGAGAGAGAGAGAGAGAGAGAGAAAAAGAAAGAGAGACAAAGACAGAGAGAGAGACAGAGACAGAGACAGCGACAGAGAATGGTGATATGAAAGAAAGTTTATAACACCTACAGAGGAGAGACTGTAATATGCTAACGATTATATTAAAGAAAAAAAATAAGCATAGAAAATAACTTGTTTTAAAATAAAATCAATGATTAAAATTCATTAATTAGATCTTATGAATTAGGTAATCAATTTTTAATATGTAAATCATTCTCTTATAATAAATCATTATTATGAAGTAAATATTATACAATATGATTCCCTATGCTAAGGATTATCTTACAAACAAATCAGAATAGATGATTATGTTACAAGTAGTACAAGTAGCTATTTATTTTTCTTCTGTTTTTGCACTTTTCAAATTTGTACCTCTGATACGTCTATAAATAAATTTAAAAAATCATTGATTATTATTACTTTTTGCGTAGGTGAATATACGCTCACTTTAATAGAAAATATTTCCGTTTCACTAAAAATGATAATATGACTGAACTGCGTCATCATTTTTGTTTATCTCGTAAAGTCTTGCCTTCAATCGTATGAAGACGACAAAAGTCTCATACGATGAAATGAGATTTTTTTCTTGCGTATATGGTCAGGTATGAATGTGAATGAAAGGTGTGTCACAACAACCAGCTGCCCAGTTGCAAAATCATGTTTTTCGATCATATGGTCATATGAATGTATGCGCTTCAAAATGTCGCTCGCCTTTTCGACGATATTATGCAATATTAATGGGAAGAATAAACGTCGCCGTAAGGCAACAACGGCGGTAATAGTGACGAAACAGTGAATCGTTGTGTCTAACTTTTAGACAACGACGGTGACGTCAGGAAGATGAAGCACTTCCGGTTTGTAAATCATATTGCATATTGTCTATCGTGTCAACTTTCACGTGCTTGGAAAGATAATATCATTTGCAATGAAAACGTTTTTCGACATAAATTAGAAAAAGCAATATTTGGAATGAAATAATAAATGATAAACTGGGTATTCTCTCTTTTTTTCTTTCTTGTAGTTTAGATCGTTGTAAGTTGATATCAACCGAGACCTGTGTTATTGCAACTTTTTTTTCTGTTTATTGACTTATTCTTTAGAAAACAAAAGCATTGTTTTTCATTAAAACCTTGCATTATTCTTATTGCCATTTCGTCAACACTTTTACAGTCATTGTGTATCTTTGCTTCTTCTCCGGAGACGACCTTGACTAGGACTAAGATAAATATAGAAACAACACATAAACAAAAATGAGTTCATGTAAGAGGAAAAACATGTTTTGATGAATAAAAGGCACATCTGAGACGAAAGAAAACATCTTATTTATTCAATGTCACTTTTTTGGTACAGATTTACTTAGCAACTATTTTTCACTGTTACATAAAGGCTTCATGAAAAAGTCATTTTTTGCATGAAATTACTATTTTTCTTTTCTCATTTTCAAAAAGTTTGTTTGTAAAAATATTTAAATGTCATATGCAGGAAAATTGATATTCAAAATAAGAACATAAGAGTTCCTATTGAAAAGAAATCACTGTTGTCATCAGCAGACTTATTTTTTAATACTTCTATGACTTGTCTTGTCTCTATTAGATTTTCTTTGTTCAATATTGTTTTTTCGTTTGTTGTTCTTGTTCCCCTATGAAACAGTTCATATATGAACAAAATGCGCGATGACATTCATGCTTGACATGAGGAAATTTTACCATCATGAATTATTAATTAATAAATTTTAGATTGTTGACCGTAATTAACTTCTTGCAAGGTCATGCTTTTTCGAGTTCTCTCGATGTCTTACAATCGTAAAAGACACTGAAATTAGAAAAGAATTCTATTGAAAGTTTTTTTTTGTGTCAATTTTGAATATTATCTCGAAAATTTTCTAATACTTTCATCATAAATGATGCAATAATCTCTTGCGGTGGAATTCGAGCCATTTCAACGACCTCGAAATTACAAAATGTAAAGAATGATTGATGCGAATGAATAGAGAATGATGAGGATTAGAGTTCAAGGTACGATGATCGAAAGCATGAACAAAAAAAATGACAAGAAAAATCGATTTGCATCTCAAGGTTCAACTATTGTGTCCATCTATATAAAATAGCATTTCAAATACATATATGTGCTTCGTCAGAGACCTTTGTATGAAATATATTTCTGACACAGTTATAAGACAATCAAATAACTGATCTAAAAATAAATTTTCATCATAAAATTATGCTTAAAGATTTAATAGTTCGTCGATAAAATCTTATCAAGAATAGGTGAAGAATGAGGACAGTAACAGTAGTTATATTACTAAATTGAAAACCTAGTGGTAAACTAAAATCTATGTATAGATATTTAAACAGCTAATTTAACTGTACAAAAAAAATGATCTTATTTTATTTTCGATAAAATCCATGCATGCGGTTCACTAAATTTAACGAAATAGAATTAATTTACGAAATATTAAACTTCTCGTTTAGTGATCTTTGATGAATTCACACATGAAAAATCAAGTTTCTTTTAGATGTCACTTCTATTGATTATCCTAATATACATATATTTATATATATATATATAACTTCCATACGTAAGGTAGCTCATTACAACGGGTTTAGATCATTAGTAAACTTATTCTAGATGCCATTATTGTTTTCAAATGACGTCAAACGACATATCAAGTTTATGCGTCATAGTTCTTCTCAAAATAAATAAATAATGGTGCATAAACAGAAAACATATCATTAGATAATATATAAATCTATATTAAAGTATAAATCTTGAAATTGAAAATTTTCAGTCGTTCTTAATTGTTCAATCTGTTGGAAAAATGCGTGTGAAGTAAAATGAACGCATAGACTTGAGAAAAACTTTTATTGTGATTCTTTGAGAGTAATAATTTGTCAAGAATCCGATAGTTTTTAGGAACCTACTTGAAAAAATACTGAAAAAACAATTGAATGCTATTTTTAAACTGAAATCAATCAAAAACTTTCTTCATTATCGTGCATAGTTTACATTTTGAGTAGGTGCATAATCTTTGATTTATTTGAGGGAGTTCATTATAAATTATTTGACAGCAATCAGAGTTCTTAATATTGAATAATTTATAATCGATATAATGATGAAAAAGCAAAGAAAATGTCACGCAGATATGCACGTATGAGATCCTTTCTAAAAATACTATTGAAAGAAAAAAAAATGTCATCGTCGTGAACTTCTACTACATAATTTAATATATGTTATAATATTTATTTAAATATTTCACGACTTTTCCTGATTGATGTAGGAGAAATATCTTTTTTTGGCATTCTTATGAATTTTAAATACATAGAGTTGCATACTTAACTATTCAATATGCGCTAATATCCATAATAAATATCTTCGTACATTGATTGTGATATATATATCTATATAAATTATGAAATAAGCCTACATTTTTAGTTAATTAAGCGAAGTTTGAAAAGAATTTTCTAGTCATTCAATAGATTGTTTCTTACAATAGACTTTCAAAGATATTAGGATTGCAGCATGTCAAAAAGGTTAGATTTGAATAATTCTATGGTTATATGACCAATTTAAGTAGGAATCTAGTTCTTGATTCTCAGGTGATTTAGTTGAATAAAATTCAATCAAGAAAGTAATATACAAGCTCTCTATGTAATTAAATTCTAAACCTGATTTTTTTATGCGGGATATTTCTAATACCTTCACAACCAGTCTTTGTTTTTCTTTCTATTCATAATATATTTACAACGATTGTTTTTTTTCCTGTAATACGTCGAGCAATAATCAATAGACACGATCCTTATAAAAAAAAGAAAAAGTCGTGCTTTAAAATAACATTCTGGCGGAATCGGCTAATGAACTCGTAGGAACATCATGAAAAATAATAACGCACTAAATAAATACTTCCTTTCCAAATCAATTTAGCCTCCCCCATGGATGAATTTATATTATTTATAATAAAAAAACGTCAATCTATGTGTAGGATAAAATCTTGTTGAATTCAGATTTTGCATGATTGTTCGAACAAATATTGAATCCTGGAAATTTCATCTACATAAAGTTCGAGTAGGAGTTCGCAGATTCTGGCTTAGATACTTATGCAATTGATTTTTATTTAGATAACCTATTAGTGAGAGGTTTTGAATTATTAACATAAAAATGATGAAGATACATCATATTTTCTTTTTATACGAAGTTATGAAAAGAATTCTTTTACTTGTTTTATGATTAATGTAATCCCTTGGGTGGATTTTCCGAAGTTAGAGCTCTAGCTTTTGATTTAGTCATAGGCAGTATTAGTTTTCTCAGATACGATGAAATAAAGAAATTTCTGCCATCGTCATCTGAATTATAATCTGATTAAGAGGTTTTTTTCTGCACTCTCTTATGGAATATGATAGGTATTCTTTGTATACCATTAAACAAGTGAAAAGCACCATCCATATTATTATAAGCTCTAAATTAATTAATATTTTTGAAAAAACCAGCATCGATTCCTCTAAGAAATATAATTCTATTGCATTAAGAGTGAACGATGATGAACAAAAGATTGTTCATCAACATAGAACACGTCTGAGAAGCGCATTGACTGAACATGAGAAAAGTGAAAGGTGAAATGAATGAAAATAAATGAACTTCAGCTCTGCTAATAAGGCAGAAGAACTAATATAAATAACATTTTCTAGTGCAATTACACACTTAACTATCGGATAACGTATTTTTTGATTAAAAAATATAAAGTTTGTGGTATGGATTTACTTAGATGACGTTCTTCAAGAAGAAAATAATGTCCACTGACCTTGTTTTATTTCAAAATATTTAGAATTATTTATTTTTTTTGTCGGATCATGTTCAAACAAGAAAGTCCCACGATGTTTTGATTGCAATCTGATGGAAATTGATTATATGCAAATAATTTATTCAGCAAACAATATGTGAATCAACGTGTTGTTTTTCTTATTAGTTCATTGTTTCTATGAACAACACAGTTACCTAGATTTATTATTCTCAACGCTACATATTCAAGCTGTTAATGATTTGAAATTTTAATTTTAATTGAAATATGTTTAAACATCTCCATTCTACGCCGATGTTTTAGAATTAAAAATATATGCATGACTTTAGCAAAGTTTTAGATTTACAGACATGTGAAAAATCTTCTACTTTATGCATGAATCATTAGATGACAAGTAACGATCAAGTTAAGCACTTGTCTTTTCTCAAATCAAATGTAAAACTTGCAAATGAAAATGCTAAATTCAAATTGAACTTTACTGTGAGGAGCCCTTTATTTTTATTGATCTCCTATGAAAATCGTCTCTTTTGGATATTTCTCACGGTTTAGGCCACTTCGTCATTCGATTTATAAAATACTCTAAAATCTTAATATTATTATTATTATTATTATTATCATCTGATTGAACTCTAATCATGAACTATAAAACATTTGACTATACTCAAGGACTACGGTTTATTTATGTAATTTACGACGATTATTTTTCAACCTGCGCGCTACAATGAATATGTGACATATTTCTATTATTGACGTTGAAACTTGTGGAAATTACTTTTCACGTGTCCGTAATTCATTAAGAGTTATAAGTATCCATTTATTAATTAATTTCGAGAGAAACAATTATTAGCATCCGCCCGTATTTGACTCAGTACGTTGTGAAGCGATTTTAGATTAAAAATAAAATTATTATTGAAGGTACATTTTAGTACAGTAAATCAATTACAATTTGCACATCAAAATTTATCAATGAGTTTGTGAAAAGAAACATGTTCTTTATTAATTGAACAGTTGAAAACAGGAAATTTACGCTAGTATAACAACATGACCGATGAAGAAACAAAAACGAACTAGAACAATAGCGTATACTGTGAAAGATACTCGTTTTACAGGTGATAATGAAAAATTAATAATAGTTTGTGATAATTAAGTTCAATTTCGATAAACCTATGATGATCATTGGTAATTTTTTTATTAGTACTTCATACAACAGATAGAAATGGCTGTAAATAGTCTCAATTGGCTATTCTTACAATTATCTTTTATATCCCAGCAAAAATGAGCATTAATCTACTATCTCTAATTGAACAAACTTATAATGTCTTGGGAAAACGATTTGATGAGGTCGAAAGGTGCTTCCATAATTTTTTCCCTTCGATTTCTCGTTTGTCGTGAATATTATGCTGTGGCGATTTCTTCGAGAGTAACTAAAACACGAATGCATAGACTTTGCTAAAAATCTACTCATTCATATATTTTTACCTAGTCCTCATGCATTATTTGCTTCCAAATGTAAGTACTGTGTATGATAGATGGAACTACATGTTTCGCTTACTGCTGAATTATAAAATCACTGTATCTGTTATTTCGAATCTAATGGAGTATGGTTTTATTTAAGCTCATTTTAAATAATATTAATTTGTACTTCAAGTAGTTAAGTCTGACGGAAAGATAAGGGAAATCAATGATACAGTATATATAAGTGTAGAGGAATTTACTTCAAACACTTTACAAGAAGGCCAGCAATAGAAAGTAAGATCGCAGCAACCATTTTACTAATCGAATATTTTAAGACCCAATGAGTAATGAAAAATTAATCGTTTCAGATTTAATAGTATTTTTGGAACGGATAGCATCGATCGATCATAGGCTATAAAAAATAAAGATTTTTGACGATAATTTAATTTTTTTGAAAACTTGGCGGATGCCGTTGTTTGCTGGCTTTGACCAAATTCTAACAGGAGATATCGATTGATTTCTTCAGCTTTTATTATGTTCGGATGAAGTTTCTCGCTTCACTGGCGGATTTTTAATTTCTAGCAACTGCATAGAGAGAAAAACGCCACGAGTATTGCAGAACTTCTTGAATTACTATTTTCAACATGAATATTTTTATATTTTATTTTTCTTCTAAACAAACACTTTTATTGTTAAGCCGTGTGAAAATTTGAAGAATACAAAGCGGAATGATTAGCAATGCGGGACAAATACGTCTTTAGTGTGGAAGTAAGACATGAAGTAGGCGTTCAGCAAATATTATCATTCGTATCATATAATATACCATTCATAATTTCAACTTTACTGCCGTTAATTTGGTACTAAAAAACAAGAATAAGACTTGTCAACATTTATTCCGCTTATCATTTTCATTTAGACATCTTCTAAACTTAAGATGAAAGTGATGCCTAATATTTAGTGCAATCGTTTGCAATCTATGTTTGGTTTTCTGTTTTTAAAAATTTCAAGGAAATATATATTTTTCAACATGAAAAACCATAGATCTAGTAAGGCATTTTGCAGGGTATGTAGATCTTATCCTACCTTGCAGTATGCGGTCCTATTCTAGAATATCGCACAAATAATGTTTTATTCCACCATGTGGACATCGTTGGTAACTAAAAGCGGCATGCACCACTATCCGAATGGCAATTTAAGCATTACTTTCAAATACTCATTTCACTAGATAATGTTGCAGCAGACTACGCACGGAAAGATCATATAATTACTTAAAAGTATTTCAGTGGATTTTGCTCGACTTACAAAATAATAGAATCTTTAAAGAACTTGACGAATCTTGTGAAAATTCTTTGGATGATTTGTTAATAATTACATTTGATTTTGTTATGTCAATAACTGATTATCAGTAAAACTATTGAAATAGTAGATATATTAAACAATATAGTTTGTCTTCGATTCTATCAAAAATGTATAAAAAGTCGAATGTTATTTTTTTCTTTGATTATAAAATCAACAATAGTTACTCATTGAAAAATGTAAACTCATTTTTCTTACTGTTGCTCTGAAATTTTGTTCATTTATTTGATTCCAGTGTGAGTTGTGGTGTTTCATTATACTTTTCAATAAAGTTAACAGCTTCAATCAATAAGCCTAGTTTGTTAACCGTGCTGTTTGATGTTATGAAAGTTGTTTCTTTTGTAATTTCTGGTCTATGTCGCTGATAATAATGCAAAGATATAGTATCTATTTCTTGAGCCACATTAAAATTAATTTTTAAATTAAGCGCAATATTATCTGGTAACTTTATTTCCTGTGATGCTTTTGTGATATTAACATCTAGTTTTTCCGTCACCGTCTTGCCTTCAGTAATCTTTTTCTTCGACCTTTGCTGTTTTTGTATCATGAATTTCAGAATAGCCAATTTATTTCTTTGTTTTATACGTCGTATTAAAGCCTTTGCTTGACTACTATTAATTTTCGATGTCTTTCGTATATTTTCTCGTAGAACGGATTCTTCCGCCACCAGATGTGTAGGAACCATGCTATTGCCATTGATCAACATGTTTGATGCAAAGTTTTGAATGATTTTCGATTCTCGTAGATGTGCTCGTCTCCTGTTTTTCCTCTTACTAGTTGAAATTGATAGAGACTGTCCAGTAGTATTTACTGACGATAAAACAGAAGAATATGTTACAGGTGGTGTAGTTATGGGTATCCGATTGCAATTAACCATACAATAAGGTAAATTGTACATTAGATTGTTTGTAGAACATTTATGGTTGTTATTTTCGCCAAGATTCAATTTCTGCACTGGTAAAAGTTGCTCTGATATTCGGGGGCATTGTTCGAAGGTGTCAATTGTCGAATATAATGATAGAGACGGTGAAGTACTAATCGGCCTAGACTTATTATATATCATAGTTGATGGGATATTTGACGACATCATTAAGTTCGGTAGTGATAGTGGTGTCAAATGTGTTGTGCGTATGAAATTCACTGGAGATCTATATTTATCAAGTCTATGAAGAGCATTTGTTTTATATGGTAATAGTAAAGAAGAACAGTTATTCAGAAATATTGGCTGAGTAGTAGTATTCAGATATCGAGATGATCGTTGTTGTTCTACTACAGGAGACTGATTAATTCTTCTTTTATACTCTAAATTATAGACATGAATAATTTTCTAGTGAAGCTTTAATCTGCTTATTCGTTTACTTCGTTCTGTTTTTGTTGATGGGACAGTAGATGCTATTATAGATGATGATGATGATGATAGTGGACATAAAGAATTAGACTGTGTCCACATGTTCTGTTGATTTGTAACGGAATATGGCTGTGGCAAATTTTCATACTTCATTCCTTGACTTAAGCAAGGGCATCCACGTCTTTCGCAAGTGTTATGGTTCAATGAGGTATTGAACTCTGGCAATTGTATCTTTCCCGATTTTTTCGTAATTAAAATTGGATCACAAATTCTTGTACAGACACTAGAATTCATAGGAGAGACTGATAGATTATTTTGATGCATATTCCCATTGTAATAGTCTTGAGATAGATTCGGTTGCAAAGAGTATGCTAATGCCACGCTTTTATGATTCATATCACGGTTAGTTTTGAAAGGACTCATAGATTGTTGTATTTCCATTGAAGAGATATGATGGTCAATATTTCTATGATCATGTTCTATCGATGAAATATTTGTATTAAAATTTGGTGGTAATAAATACATTTGTGAATGATTTCCATTTGGGTGCACTATGTTTTGCAATTAAAATATCTCTTTTGGAATAGGAAATATTGTCTGCTTGGGCAACATTTTCTATTCTATAATACTGTATATGATGAAACAGCAATTTAAAACAATTACTAGGAGGAGAGATTTCGTTCTAGGTGTTTTAAAATTTAAGTTTTATCAAGATTTTTAAAGCAAAACAGCAAAGATATCATATCTAATTTAAAATTACAAGACAATAGAGTTATCTCTACATCAGTGACGCATACACTTTAAGTCCATATCTTCATAATTCTGACTGCAACAGCAACAAAATCTATCTTTTCATTTTAAAAAGATTATATTTACAATCGAAGCTCAGTACATCGTCGGATAATTTACAAAACACTAATTGTTTAGCAATAGAGAGTACACACTTGTATTTTTTTACTACTATTGTATTATGCGCAATTGTTCACGATTTCAAAAATTTCATCATAAATATTAATTAAAAATATTCTATATTCGTCTTAAATAAAATCGTAGTAAATGATCGTTTTGTTCAACGAATTATTTTCGTCTAAATAAAGAAAAATGAAAAATTTTTCCTGTTCCAAAACAAAATTGTGTTTTCGTGCTTTTGTAATAATATCGATATCGATTGTTGTTGACGTCAACTCAATAAACACTCCAATGTTTATGTCTGTGTTACGATGTTCTCCTTTTCTTCATATGTACGACAGTGTATTTGATGGGTAAAATGTACTTAACCGTAGCAAATACGTAATAAGTGATAGACAGTTGAACGAGGACGACAAAAATTGCACTTGTGTTCCCATTCGAGAGGTCATTGGAGCAAGAGTGAAAAGAAAACGAATCGTTTATTGTTCAGAATAAGAAGAAACTTTCCTGAAAAATTCCTCCATCAGATGCTCAACTAGTTATAATTAGGATAAATTCAATTACAACAAATCTACTGCGTAATACTTGTGTGCTTTAGTATCACTATCAGAGTAGGTCATCGTGTATACTTCCTGAACAATAACTATTACGAGTGCATTATAAACCAAATCATTTGTATGATATTATTGCATATAAAATTCGATTACTTTCTACGTAATCATATTGTCTATCAAAAATTATATAACTTTTTCTTTTTCTAGACTGATCATTTTTCAAAATGTACGCAAGACCTATTCTCGTTCCTATATATCGGCTTAACCATTGGTTATCTCTATATTGGTATAGACTAGAGCTTGTCTAATCAACAGCAGATTTTAAAGGGAACTCTGGAAAAACCATTAAATTACAACAACATTTTCAAGGTTTTCTTTCTTGCAGCAAAAATAATTGATACTCTCAGAAATGAGCTATAACACACTTTGTAACATGATGAATGCCCTCTTCAAGTCCAAAACTTTTCCATTGGATGGTCGTTCACTGAAATTAATTCTCCTTCTCCTACATTTTTGTTTAGCTGAGAGTTTTCAGGCAACGAAAATCTAAATTCATTTGTGTTAGTTACACAACTTTGACAACCTATTGACTTATTCGTACGCAAGCACGCATAGAAATTACTAATTATTCAATGTTTAACATTAAATTGATCACTTTCGGAATCGTCAAAAATAATAAAATGTTTCAATTGATGCATACTTACAACCCATAATTTTTTATTTATTAAAAAAAGCGAAGAAAAACAGGATTATCAAAAACGACACACAAACACACGCACGTACAAAGAAATTCTAAGCACAGTGAAAATCAAAATCAAAAATAAATAAATAACATTCAGCCCTGAGTCTAGCCGTCGTCTATCAGTATCATTGATAAGTAAGGGAAACAATGAATAATAATTATCAGACATCAAATTTCAAATACATCTAACAATGAACGTCCAATGATTTTTTTTCTCTTCTTCTTCTGTTAATTAATCGATATCACCGGTAAAAGATTAGTTCAAATAAATCAATGGGTATGTTTCTTATGTTTTCATTTTAAACATAAAGTTTGTCGGATCATCAATTATTTCTGGATAAATCCATGGATCATAACGATAAACAACAGTATAGTTTGTTACATAGCCATTACTTATTAATTCATCGATTTCATTTTGTGACCATGTATATAAATAATATAATCGAAAATTTTCCATTAAATAGGTTCGTTCATATTGCCAAACATTTTTTATCATTTGTGATAAATTATTATCAATTAAATATTTATATTCTTGATCATATGTTGAACCGAATTTAATATGAAATGTGGTTGTATTACTGATAATTAAATCCATATCGACAAGATTATTTGTATTTGTTTGATGTCGTATATTTATTTTATATTGACGAAATAATGGTTGATTGAGATGTGATTTTAGTTGTTGAAAATTATTTAGATTTTGAAGAAAATATACATGATTTTGTTTACGATATGGAATTAAAAAGGACTGATTGAATAAGGTAGAAAACAAATCATCATAGGATGCAAATGATATGAATTCTATTTGTTGATTCGGATTTTTTACGGATAATGTACGATTTATCCAAAAATCATTATCATTTTCAATGTGGGCTATTGAATATATGAACTTATTTGGATACGATATTGAATAATGTTCATTGAAATATGAAAAAAATGATGAATAAATTAATGAATTTTCTTCGAGAATAATATTTTGATTATTAAAATAGGGTGAAGATAGCACTGAATCGTGTGTGCTTGTAAAATCATAATTGAGACTTCGTAGTTGACTGAGAATGTCTAAAAGTATCAAGATAAAATTATTTTCCGATTGATTTCCGCATTAGTCTATTTAGATTCGTTGAAATTTGACATTTTTTAAAAAGATAGTTTCTCAGGCAAAATATTTTCAAACAAGACTTTCTTCGCCTGCTGAATTAATTGAAAATTGAGAGGGCACATAACTCGTTTCAGAAATGCAGACATAGTACACTAATTCGAAATTCTAAAACGAGAACTCGGCGTTCGGTGGAATTCAGCTCGGATGAATTTGTTGACAAAGATTTCATTTCCATTCATTAGAGTTTATTTAGTTCAGGATGTTCTTATTCCCATTATATCACAAATAACAGATACTTTTGAATTGGACACTTAACCAACTTATTGATAGTTTTCAATGAAACATACAAGAACATGTATAAGTGCTAGAGTGAGCTATAAAACATATTGTTCAATTGCTCAATTTTTAATAAAGAAACCACTCGAAACGATAGCCACTTGAACTCATATTACGTTTTCAAGGACACATTCGATCAAAGTAATAGAGGTTAAATAAGGTCGCCCTTAACGATGTAAGCATTCATCCTAAAGCAAACTTCTGAATTATCCTTGGCCTCATCATATTGATTGAGAGATAAAAAAAACATTTTCTATCTCGTGAACTGAATAAAATAAAAATGAGTTTCTACAGTTATTAGAATTTTTTTTTCGTATGAAGTCCTTTTTGTATCCATCAAAACTACGTAAACTTTACAATAATCTTTCCTCAGACTACTTATTTTCCTCACTGGAAACATTGATTTTCTCTCGAAAACTATTTCATCTGTTCATTCTACTTACCATTATTATGTAATCGTTGAAAGAAGATTTCATTAACATTATAAATTTCATCACTTATCTTATATAAATTCATATCATGTAATGGATTATTCATTTTCGGTAGATATGTTTGTTTATTTGTCCATGTTAACGGAAAATTCGCTACTAAATATCTTCCAAGATTAAGATCGAATAATTTCCCATGAATTTTATCAAAAACACAATTTAAATCTTCATCCAATAGCAAACCAGCAAAACCAAATGGAAAAAACACTTTATCGTTATAATTTTTTTCAATTAAAATTTGTCCATATAAACCGTAGAATTTCTCTTGAACTAAAAGACCATTATTATCATACATAAATAATGGTGAACCAATATCATCAGTTAATAGAAAATATTTCTTTTCATTTTGTTCAAAACCAATTAAATTATTTTGATGATCATAATAAATAATAGTTAACAATTTTAATTGTGAATTATATATATGCGTTATCATTCTTCGTTGTTGTTGATTTCCATAGATAAATCTTAAATAGTAACCAGTTACGGGATATAATTTCATAATTAAACGTTGCTCATTATCATAGATAAAATCGATCACTAATTGATTATATTTATATTTAATTAATAAACCAAATGAATTAAATAGATAGAGTTTATTATTTGATATTGCATGTAGAAATCCATTTTGATCATATTTATAATTTAATGTTAGATTTTCATTTGTTGCTATTTGTACTATTTGATTCCATTGGTTATATTGAATAGATGGATAAGATTTCGTTGAATTTAAGTTATTATTTAAATCATATTGATAATAGTCAATTGAATTTTGATTATTTTTAATACTAATTAGACGTTTTAAATTATCATATTCATAGGTATAGGAATATTTTTCGAGTTCGTTTAATGTAATTTTTATTTGTTCTAATAGTAATTGCTTATTGTTGTAGATAAATTCAATTGTTAAACGTTTTTGATTTTTATAATTTAAATTTAATTCTTTTAGACGTTTATATTCATCAATACGGCGTGATATTGTTATTGAATTTGAATAATCTTTAATGAAACATTCATAGATAGTTGGATATGTTAATCGTACGAAGGAATTCGATTGTAAATAGCCATAGTTCTCATTGTAATTTAATTGATAACTTAGTTGATAATTGGTTGAATAATTTTCAAGAAAATTTCTTTCATATGCTTTTGAAAAAATAAATCGTAATTCAAATGAATTTATGGAATTATATTTTATATATGAAATTATATAAGAATATTTATCATAATAATAATCAATCAAATTACTTAATAATGAATTATTATTGTATTCATAAATTTGTTCGTATATTTGTCCACGAGGATACGCAATATGAATTTGTTTTTGTGATTTTAAATATTCATATGATGTTTTACAACCATCAGTAAATGAATAAATTAAACGATTATTTTCATCGTATTTATAGGTTATGAGACGTTGAAATGGAAAATAAATTCGTTGAAGATTTGATTTAGAATCATATTCCCATATTTGTGTATGTAAACCGTAATAAATCAAACGATAACTATTGAAATATGTTCGATATTCGAGTGTATGTTCGGCTTGATTGGGCATGATGATACCAGTTATACTTCCAGTGGAATCTTTACGTAACATTACATTCGATTGAGAACCATAAGTTATTCCAACAGGCTAAAAAAGAATTAAAATTGTTCTTTTAGGAAAAGTTCAAAACACTGTAATCAAATGATTTCACTTCAGTAAATTATTACAAACAATATACACATTCTAAGTTAAAAATTAGCCTTATGAACTAATGAAAATGATTATGTATATCTGAGATTAACTTCAAGAACCTGTTTCAAAAGTTATCGTCTAAATTATCAGAGAATAAGACCTCATAGTGGTTAGCAATTCCTAGTAAAAGTATCTCACAACGCTTTATTCTCTTGTTCTAGTATGAACCACTATTACTCTAAATTCGGTATCTTAATTACATATCAACTATTGAAACTTACTTGTTCTCCATGTCCATAACTATATTTAATTGATGAAAGATCATTAAATCGTTGTATTTCAATTAAACGTCCACGTGTATCATACAAGAATTCTTCATAATAGGAGCCAATTTTCCAGCTTGATAATTTTTGATCGTTATCTTTGTATGTGTAACTAATCGGTAAAAATCCTTTTGTATTTATTGATTGCAAACGATATTTATCTGAATAGATCATTGTTAGAATTTCATTTTGTTTGTAATCTTGTATAATTAATTTGTTTTCAGAATGATCAAATAACATTGTTAAAATAATATTATTATTAATCTAGAATGAAGAAAAAGATGGATGGAAAGTACTCTTATTTATCATTTTTCTAAATTTTACCTTTAAATGACAAGAACGCACGTGTTCATTATCGTAGGGTAAAACGGAATAAACTAATGAATTTAAAAATTGTGATGATGAATTAAATTCAATTGTTTGATGACGATTTTTTAAAGTTAATGAACGATTTGAACTTGAAATCAATTTTACTGATGGATTTAAGGATGAAGTAATTATTGTCGAATTTGATAAATCTCGACGAACTAATCGTGGTTGATTGTCTAGTAAAAATGAAATTATGAATTATTGATAGAACACAATGCATCGGAATGTCATAGGAGATTCTTTCAATAACCTGACGGAAAGTCTCTATGAAAAGACGTCATCAAAAGCTTAGCTGGAAAACTTTTCGACTACAGTATGAAATTTGCTCGATACACGCGTCAGTACTCTTTTCAAAATCTGTTTACTTTTTAATTGAATTGTTTTTGATTTACTCATCAAATAAGTTGTATTTTCATTTGGACCAATAATATCTATTCGATAAAACGAATGATTAGCGGATGTGATCAATTCATTGAAATAACCATCTTCATGAATAATCTGAAAAAAACGCAAATTTTCATAATTAGTTTCTTTTCGTTTTTTTTTTAAATAAAACTCGGATCCTACTTGTTGAATATGTCCAGCTTTATTGTAAATAAAATGATTTCTAATTATATTATTTTTAATGACTCCTGTTAACAATCCATTATCATATGAAAATTGTGTAGATAAACCACTATCGTCAATGATATGTGCGAAGAATTTTTGTTTTGAAAAATTTATCTAAATTAAATTAAAATTAAAGAAAAGAAAGCAGGAAAAAAATCATTATTTACCTTTAATTTATTTCCATTTGGCATTTGAACAATATCATTGATACGCATAGCATAATCATATTTCAATAATAAACTTTTACCATTACGATAGATTATAGATTCTAATTTACCATAAGCATTTTGAGGAGAATCATATGTAAAATTAAAGATTGTTTCCCCTAGAAAAAAAAAAAGAAACTTAAGAATAAAACAGAATTTAGACACGTTGTAAAATATTTTCAATCCACTTCATAAGATAAATATGCTAAGTTGTTTCTTTAGTTCACAATCGCTCTAATAACAAAAGAAAGCAGCTTCATCCGACTATTCGCACGAGTGATTTACTAGGTAGAGTACATCAAACTTTTCAAAGTATATTTGAGGTTTCTTTATCCTATTCATGAAATTAATCAATCGTTATTAATCTTTAGTCATCAATAAAAATGTACAAGCTCAAGTTTAGTCCTTGTCAATACTCGACCTGTTAGAAACAAAATGTTAACCGATAGCACAAGAATTCCTTTACAGCTCATACACATTCCTGAAATATATGTAAATCTATTCAAATTTTTTAGTTAACGATTTCATTTTGATGACACACTATAGAAAACTTAAGTGGCACAAACCTGTTAATGCATCGATTGTTGCGCGATGTTGTCCAACTCGATTGAAAACATAAATTTCATTTTTATCTGTTGAATGAATATTTAAACCATTGTTTTGTTCATCTTCATTTGTTACTGAAATTGATTTTAATTTCAAAATTTCTTTCGAAGCAATATTTGAAAGTATAATTGAACCGTCGGGATAGTTAATAATGGATGCAAAATTGATTTTAATATTATTTAAATTAAGATTTAAATTTTCCAATTGATTATTTGATGATCGTAATACACGAATGAATGGTTTTGATTTTTCCAGTATAAATAAATCTCCTTGATGATTAAACGAAAAATCCATTGGATTATTTAATTGTACAAAATTGTCATTATTTAAACAATTCAACGATTGACCCAGAACGATTTCAATGAGATTAAAATTGATCCGTATACGATATAGATACATATCGTCTAGAATATATAAATCGCCATCAAGTGGATGAATATGTAATGTCGTTGGATTATAAAGATTAAACTAAAAATAAATAAATAATTTTACTTTTTTTATCTTCATCTTATTCTAACCTGATCAAGTGAATAACTTCGATTACATGATAATTGTTTATGGTAATCTATTTGATAGTCATACGATCCAACAAGATTTGTAACATGACTATTTTCAATATTTAATTTTCGAATACGCTGTCCATCAATAAAATAGATTGTTCCATAACGATCAATTGTTAAACCTTTCGGGTACGATAATGAAACATCTTTAGCTAATTGTTCATCACCACATGTTATATTATGAATTAAATCTAATGTACAATAATGGCCATCGCCAATAACAATTTCATAATTTTGTTTTAGATTTTCAATAGATTCAGTTTTTATTAAACGTATAATTTGTCGACGATGATAATCGGATATATATAAACGACCATCAACGGGATCTGTTGTTAAATAATATTTGTATGTATACTGTTCGTTCAATTCAAGAACTGGTTTAACAAGGTTATTTGCCGGTCGATACATCCATATGAGGTTTAAATCACCGATATATATTGTACCATCATTACTAATAGTTAGACTTGTTGGATTAAGTAATTTTGTTAATAATGCTTGATTTTCATAACAATTTCGACAATCAATCGAACGTATTTGATCACGAATACCGATTAAAGTAGAAAATTGAAGAGGCGAATCAGTGAGTAACATATTTGTTCCATCACCTTTATGTAAGATACCTAAGAATAAAAATGACAAGATTTAGAAATCGAATTTTGTTTTTGTTCAGTAAAATTGTCGGTAGTATTAAAGCCTGAGAGAAATTTTCCAATTTTTATACAGTTGACTCTAGAAAATGTTAACTCCTCTTTACCCTGTTTTACTCTTCTACTATTTCACATAAGAAATGTATGTGATACACTAATCATCGAGTATAATAAACTCTAAAACAGTTCTTGGATTCGCTTATATTGATTATTTATAGTTATAGTACAATATCTTCATTCTTGATCATTAGAACACTTGCAATAAATACAATTAAAGTTGATACGGCACTCAAGAAAGCATATAGCAAACCTTTATCTGTCTTGTCGTCGAAAAAATTTTCAATTAACTTTAATTTACATTTATTTCTTATGCATATCAAGATACGATAACCCTCTATGTATGGACACTCGTTACATCTAGTCAGTCAATATTATCTTGTCTAGTTAATTCTCCTGAACTAATGAGCTGTCATACATCTGTTGACATTCAATTTTCCAATAGTTATTATATTTACCTGCTTGAACATTCAATTTATGATGAACATTGAATGTCCATCCACCAATATTTGCTGTTGGAATGTCTTGTCCTGTTATTTTAACTGATTTTCGATACCAATCAATTTGATTACAATTCATATATTCGTATCCAATTGAAACTTAAAACAATAATAAACAAGACAAATTTCGATAAAAAAACTATCGTAACTCTTTTAGAAACATACCAATGGCTTCAGCTAAACCATGCACATTTTGATCATAAGCATTTCTTCGCGACCATTCATATTCATAAATTAGATTTTTTTCTGCCGGAAACTTTCTCATAGAAAATGTTCCTTCAATACTGATACTTAAATGTATTTGTGTTAGATAATCATCAATACGATCTCCGGTTAATACAATTGTTAATATTGACTGATAACGTCTTCCACTTGATGAACTTAAATAAATAAATTTAATAGGTAAATCAGGCTTATCAATTGATATTGATTGACGAATTATTTGTGAGCCTAATGTATATGCATAATCAAATTTGTCGTTTGTTATAAAACTTCTATCAAGACTAGTATCCCATAATTTTGGTTGAATACTTTCAGAATAATTCCTATGGCAAACAATATTTTCACTAGTTTCATCCATATAAATATAACCAATATGAAGAAATGTATTCCATGGAACAATAAATGCATATTGTTTTGTTTGAAATGGCTGTCGAATAAATTGTATAAGTACTGAACCACCACCATTGACTAATAAATTAAAACTAGAAATAGGAGAAAATTGCAAAGAAAAATAATTAAATAGAATATAAATTATTGTTTTTTTATTTTTACAATCCATCTTTGTCGGATACTGTATAGCCTTGATTGGGATTGTTCAATACTTGAACTTTTACACCATTGAGTGGTAAAAGTTTTTTATAGAATATCTGACCACGTATAACAGATGCACGTCTAGAAAACAAAATAGAAATAAATGAGATCTTGTTTTCTGTATTCTAGTCAGTTTTAACAGATCGAAACATTTTCACAAAACAATATATAGGTACATCGAAAGTCACCTCTTATCAAATGCGGATGCTCTGAAAGAATTTTTATAGGTAATAGAATAAGAAAAATGTTCAAAATAAAAGAAAATATTTCATACCGTTCATTGAATGATGTATAAATTGATGATGTTTGTAAACCATCTTCTTGAATTAAAAATTGCATACGTTCAAAAAATGAAGCCGATGGACTTGGAGCTTGACGTCTTAATAATCTATAGAAAACACAGTAATTTAGAGTTGAAAAAGAAGTTTTTTGTTAAATTCTTCATACATGTCTTTAGCAGTTGTTCTAGAAATACATTCTGCAGTCGATTGACATCTACTTGACGAACAACAATCTGGATCAAGGCAATCGACAAGACCATCTAAATAATTTGAATAGAAAAATTTACATTTCTATACAATAAATCGAGAGATCTTTCCACTGTTTTTGTCTGTTTTTTTTAGAAAAAACGATTCAGTTACAAAATCATCAATATTGGTTGTTATGAATTATCTTGTCAAAGATTCAGTGTAAAACTAGCTTCTCTATGTTAGGATTGAATCTTGAGATCAGCCTTCGATAGTTTTTCTCATTAATAAATTGAAACGAATTACTTACCATTATCATTATCTAATTGATCATTACAATTATGTTCAATTGTAAATTGACATTCTGGTCCAAACCAATTTATATGACATACACATTTATTTACTTTACATTCCCCATGTCCATTACAATTATTCGGACAAGCATCTAAAAGAATTTCATCCTAATAATTGTTCTCATTATTCTACAATTAAATGTACAAACCTATTTGACAATATCGACCGGCATATCCATTCGGACATAAACAAGTTCCGTTATCATCACATTGTTTACATAATTCTGAACAAATTCTTTTTCCACAAGTTTCTCCTGTCCATCCATCATCGCATTGACATTTATTTTTATCATTTGCAGAACATTTTCCATGGATACCACAATCAATTTTGCATTTCACTTTTAATATTAAAACTTTACTTTTTATGATTAATATTCGAAATCTACTTACATTCCGCGCAATCGTCTCCTGTCCAATTATTATCACATATACACATCGGTTTTGGATAATCAACATATTGCCCATGTTCGGAACATCGATTATCACATTGTGAATGAATTAATAATGAGCAATCATCATTTGTATATCCATGAAAGCAACGACATTTTCCTTCAAGACATATTCCATGATCACTGCAGTTCACATTTTGACAAGAAACTATAAACAGAAAATATAGTTACGATTATTTAATCCATATTTTAAAATCAGTTTTACCTTGTTCACAAAATTTTCCTTGATAACCATTTTGACAAATACATTTACCAGCAATGCAAGAGCCTCGATTATTACAATTGCTTATTTCACATTGATTGAACGATAGTTGACATTCAGCTCCATGCCAACCTTCTTGGCATCGACATTGTCCATGTTCAATAACACCATGTCCACTACATAAATCTGTACATTGTGCTAAAAATGAAAATTATTCAAAGTAAGAAATCGTTTTTTCTTTCGTCTCTTCCAAATAGTTTTCTTTACCTATCGAACAATCCGATCCTGTATACGATGGTTGACAAATGCATATGCCATGCTGACAAATACCATGATTATTACAATTATTTAAACATGTTCGTTCATTTTTATCATCAATATGTTCAATATTTAATTCAGAATTTTCTTTAGTCAATCCATCATTTATTATTGTGATATACCAAAGTCCTGTTGTTAATAATTCATTAAATAGTAATGTTGATTGTTCATAATTAAGACTCGTTATATAGATTTGTGATGTTCGATTTACTGGAAAACTTCTACGTACAAGATGATGTTGTTGATTATTTTCATGAAAGGAATGAAAAAAATCAAATTGAGTTAAGCTTGGCGAATTCGAGCGTCTACCATAGATGCCTAAAAGACGGAGGAAAAAAAATTATCGAGATGTATTACAATAGAAACTTAGACAGTTATTTTTTTTACCAAAATTAGCTTGTCGATTAGCTGTAAAATTAAATTGTATTGAGATTGTTCGTTCAATATAAAACTGTAATTGTGTACTGGATTGTGAATCTATTGTTTCCTTTATTTTATCACCAATACGAATGAAACGTGTTGTTTTACCTAAATATAGGAAAAACATAAATAGATTTCTCTCTCTCTCTCTCCGTCTTTTTCTATTAATTTAATTTAACAAACCATAAAATAAATTCTGTTGACGAGCTTTTGGTTGTGTTAAATTTATCTCTCGAAATGTTGGATGATAATAATGTATTATTGATAAATAAATAGTTGACAATAGGAAACATAATGTTGTTAAAATAAAAATAATTGCAATTGTTTTCCATGAGAAAAAATTTCTTTGAAAATAATTTTCATCTGTTTTACGTTTTTTCGATCGACATGTTGAACTATTAAATAAAGGACACGGTGAATGTGTTGACTGTCGTGTTGTTGTTGTTGTTGCTTGTTCATTATACGTTGTTGAATCACAATTGCAACGAATATGTGAATGAGAATGATGATGGTGATGATCCAGTGGATAAACATAACAATTATTGCGAAAACTAGAAATAAAATTAAACAAAATGATAAATAGAATTACTCATGTCCTTGATATGTCAATACAGTATTTAAATTGTTAATTAAATCAAAAAAAATAATATTATTATGTATATTATATGTTATACAAGAAAGAGAAAAAAAAAGAAAGAATTCGGGCATGTCTATTGTTCATTCAATGATCAATCATCCGAGTGTGGCTTACTTTTCAAGTTAATACATAACAAAAAAAAAAGACTAATTCGATTTTTTTGTTGTTGACAATTGCACCCTAATACATATATATATATATATACACACACATCATCCCATTAGAGTGAAGAGTAGTAGCTATTACGCAAGATTACTCTATTTGATATATGTATATAAATATATGTGAGACAGAGACTTTAATTTGCATTGTGCAAACATAAACTAGACATATACATACCAAGGCAGTAATGGTGTATCAGGAAAGATTTCATTTTTATTGTCGTTTGAATGAATTATATATTCACGATGACTGCAAAAGAAAATAAAACAAAAAAAAATAACAGATTGATACTCCTACAGACTTAGAAGTTAATTAGTCCTAAGGGAGAACATGTAACAACGATCAGTAAAAGGTCTATGCATGAACTTTTGTTTTACTCTCTTCATTATACTTCAGCACAGGTGAAAAATATTTGCCTTTTGTACATTATTCGCATTCATTCAATCAATCAGCAGGATATATATAGTCAAGTGGCTAACAAGCCAAGCTAATAAGCATAAGTCTTATTCGTTCCGGATGTACTACTAAAAGCTCTTTTATTCTTCTCTCTCGTTATATATATATATATATATACGAATGTCAGATTGTTTGATGATAATGAGAATAAATAACATGTATACTTCTGTCTATGTTTGTTCGAGTAATGAACATCAAACATACTTATTGAAAACAAAACCGAAGTAACTAACCTGTCGGCATCAATTGTCTGATAGACATTTGATAAATTAGAATGTGGCCGGTCAATCGTTGACATTGTTGTTGTTAGTTGAGTTGAATTTGGACATGAGTATGCGGAAGACCGAAGAGGAAGTGTACCATTATGAATATTACTACCGTTTGGATCAATGGTCGAAGAAGACATCAATGAACCTAAAAAGAGAGAGAGAGAACAAAAGAATGTGAATATATTGACTGGAAGAAAAAGTATATGATGACATTATGGCATTTAATATGGACTATAGTAGATAAATCAGATAGACTAAACAAATTTCTCACGTTTCATAATAACCTGCTGGATACTGAAAATAAAAAAATACCATCGGACTTATGTATATATACATACGTAGATATGCGGTTTATTTCGGCTATGATCATGAACCTTAATATGGTTCGATGTATCGTGTGACAGTAGATAAATGAGATACGATACTATTGAGCTAGCTTTCGTAATCTCATAATGCAAATTCTCATCCTTCTTTACACGTTTGTATATGAGTTCATCATTAACATCATCAAATAGTTATAGCAATGACAGAATGAAGGCTGTTGATTAAAATGACGATTCGATATCTATACTGTATGAGACTGACCTGAGATCAATAAATGTCTTACATTAACTAGTATGCCGGATGGAAACTATGAAGGGCGATAAGTCTTTTTCTTCTTTTATATTCATCTTCTTTCTTTCTTTCATTCATTCATTCATTCATTCTTTTCCTTTTCCCTTTTCTCTGGTGTGTTCATCAGACTGTAGGCAAATTCAATCGACACTCTACACACACACACACACACACATACATACATACATACACACACGCACAACCAACTGATAAGAACCGAGGCTAATCGATCTCTGCTGGAATGATATCTTGGTGAATGTGTGCACGATTCTGTTTTTGGTTGCGTTGCCAATTGATTGCCTCCTCGACCCGAGTACTGTGTCGAAGACAATTAGAACAAGAGTTTGTCACCGGCATTAGATAGAAGAATACCAAATCGAACCCGATGTGTTCGATCAAGAGAAAGAAAAAAGAGTAGAACTCAGGGTCATACACGACATCCGCCAATAGTTAGAACTCAACAATTGTTACATTGTACGCGAATGAGTAATCAAACGAGCGCATAAAGCAAGGAGAGAGAGAGAGGTCAAAAAATGCACAATCAAGACCTAATAGAGCTTACTTCCTCTCTTAGTCTTGCATATACATACATCCGAATCAATACTATGATGGATATACATATGCTTAAAACAATCACATCGCGAAATTGACGAAGAAATCTAGTCTATTAACTTTACCTTGACTATGTGGTATTAAGAGAGCGTTGCCTGTTTGTGTTTGTATCATGAAAGCAGTACAAGGTGTTGATGATGGTTTTGGCGGAGGTATAGGTGGTAGTGATGCAGTGGCATGTGAACTTGATGAATCGAAACCGCTATCAGGTATATAGGTGTTAGTTGTCATAGAAGTGTTGTCATTGCAGAAAAGTATTGAATTACGCGTTGTTGTTTTTATTTGACTGAGCAATGTTGTGTGATCAACAGGAATCATAGGAGGAGGATGCAGTGGCAGCGGCGGTGGTGGTGGCTGTTGTACTGCTTGTGATCGTGTAATAAGTGGTGATAAAACTGATGAGTCCATTGCCGAATGACTTCCTGAAAATAAAAATAAGATTAACGAATATATGGTACGTATATATCGCTTAGTTATAGGAAAAATAAATATGATTTTTTACAATCCAATGATACTCAATTGTCCTTCTCGCAGCTCAATGATCAAACGATGACTGGACACTCTTAACCTTTTTTGCTGTTTTAACGTGACCACGTCAATAGTCACTTCACACAAATAGCTAGAAGCATTTTTGATTCAATCCAAAGGAGAAAAAAAAATGCTGCCGATATATGATTAATCATTCATTGAAATAAACGTACATCGTAAGAAACAATATAATGTTGCGTGTATTAACTCAACATTGTTCTGATTGCTTACTAGACCCACTTGCATGTCACTTGGCGTTCATTAGGATTTTTTTACTTTCTTCTATGTGCTGAATGAAGCAAAAAAAAATTGAGCAAGGGCAAAATGTATAAACTCTATTATATTGCATGTAAGTGAAAAATAAAAAGGTGTCGACCACTACTACTTTCTTTTTGATCGTTTCCTTGTCTTCTTTCTCTCTCTCATGCTACTCATTTATGCTAACACTTTTTCTGTCTCTTTCTCCTAGCTCGCTCTCTGTCTCTCCCTTTCTTTTTCTTAGCTACTCGTTACGCTTAGACAACAATCGTTTTTACTATAATGTTCGTACAGGCAAGGATGTCAGAAGAGAATAAGTCATTCTAGATTTCTTAAAGTACGATGGACCTATATCTATATTTTAAGCTTCAGTTAAGAAGAAAACGAGAGCATGTAACTATATGATAATACTGTTGTCTACAATTGGTTAAACTGTCTATTGTCGACACAATAATGTGCATTTGGATGTGTGTCTATGTGTCTTTTTTTCTTGATTAAATTCAGTGACAAGTTGAATGAGAAAGATGCAATTAATTTGAAACGATCATCAATAATGTGCATATATGGGTAGATATGTATGTGCAACATTTTGTCGCCCATCGTACTTCGCCGTCGTCATCATCATCGTTTTTGACCTGCATTTCTATGGGTTAGTTATTGTAACGCGTGAACGAAGGAATAGACTATAGACAATAGAATTGAATGCAAAAAAAGTGCTTCAAGAAGTATATATGCATATGCATATAGGAATAGTAAAAAGTAACAGAAAAAGAAAACAAAACAAACATCATATTTAACCGTCGTCTCTATGAGCTATTTTAATTATGATCTTGAGCTAGACGAACAGGAGGAGTGTATATATATTGAAAAGACAGAGACATAAAAAAAAAAGAAAAGCGGTGAGGACCACCAAGTGATTTTTAATGTTATTTACTCGTGACTAGTTTGATATGTTGAATTTCTTTTTCTTTTTTTATCATTAGTAGACAATCGATAATACACTAGTCTTATGAATACTACAGCGACAGTTAGAGAGATAGGATCATCAATCGATGTATTCGTTTGTACACCAGAGAACAATAAATTTATTCAATGTTGCGTGCTTCATTCGTTTATATTATGGACTAGATGGACTGGCGCGATCAAGAATATTCAATTTCTTGTCGTTGTCACCACCTCAATGAGTAAAAAATTGACATGCCATGCAATATTACGTGACAACACATACAAACATTTTTGTATGAATAATGAAAGAGAAGAATAATAAGAATGTAGCTATTGTTTTATGATGGTAAGACAATTAGATCAATTGCAGTAGAGAGAAAATAAGTTTCTTTTTTCGAGATTCGTGATTTTTTGCTTCAATAAATCGATTGCTCGAGGATAACCTAGTAGTCATGATCATTGTTGATAATAATTGCCATTCGGACAAAACATATATTCCCCCACCCGCTATGTGCCTAGCATGGTGTCTCAAGAAAGTGTGAGTTAATTCAATTAGAAATGCCGTAAGCAAGAAGACTAACTGAGAAATGTTATTTTAGTGTATATATATAAAAACATACTAAATAGAAAATGAGTTTTTCTTGCTTTGCTTTGTTTTTGTTCAAACTAACCTGATTCATCATCATTACTTGTTATTCCTGGCGATGTATTGGAATCATTTAATGAAGAATTAGAATGTTCAATTTGATGTTCAGATATAGGTTTCATATTTGTACTAGAATGTATACATCGGTCAATTGTACATAAAAGTGCTGCATTCGTTGGAGTATTAGAATTATTGCTGACATTTATTTTATGTTGAAGATATGGATGATGGGTACATGAACATAAAACAATGTCTTTTGTAGTTTGATGTTGTCGTTTATGACATGATGATCTGTGAAATAAATTTGTCGATAGTGGTGGCGGAGGTATTAAAGATGTACAACAAGACGACGACGTTGGATGAACACCTGTGCATATAAGAATATAAAAAGAAGGAAAAATGAAATTAGCCCCTATCGACTCTACATTTACGCTCACATATCTACCAAACAACACAAATAATCGTTAGTTTAGGCCATTAATGAACCACACACGCACTCAGACACTTAGCCCTTCTCTTCGCATGCCGCTCAGCATGGTTACAACAGACTGTTCTTTTCATCTTGATAGGTAAACAACACTCACTCACCAGATTCTCCTCCTATGTTCTGGTGACCTTATCTTATTTGTGCTCTTAACCAAAAAGAAAACCGCTTCGTATATTATAGGAAAATCTAGATAAAGACTCTATAAACTATCGTTAGTAATTTGTCAAAAATATATACTCATATATATAGATATATATACACATACATACAATATTATCCGTTTTATGTAACTCTTTCGATTGATCTTTTCGATTGCGAGTAACAATCTATTGTGCATCATGCGTTGATGAGCATCTGTGTCCCAATATACACTCTCAGGACTTACATCATGTATAACAGAATAAAAAAAAAAAAAGAAAGAAAGGGAAGAAATCTCCTGTGTGTATACATGCATGCATTTGAATTGATCATGCAAAAGAAAACTGTACGATTGTATTTCATCGAAAATATACACGACAATAACGATTTAATCGTCCATGCCCACCATGGTCGTTCGAGATTCAAGCAGAATTACGTAATGATGGAATAACAGACGTGCTCTATTCTTCTAGTTAGAGAAAAGACAACTGCATATTATTAATACACACAAGAAAAAGGGGAATAATGTATAAAGAATTACAAGGACATAAATGTCGCGAGAGGCTCAAAATCGAATTGTTATTGATGAATGGCGATTTGAAAGATATAACAAATAATAAGAAAGGAAGACAACGTAAAATGATCACTAGAGACGAGGACATAACGAAAGAACTGCGCATTCATCAATATCATTATGGCTAATCTTGTCATTATCAACATGAATATTTCACTTCGAAAAGCTATCACTAAATGTATGAACAAATCTAATGAGTATGATTTGATTTGATTCAATCTGTAACACAGAGAGCTACAAAATGAACGATTTGTCGTGATATACAAGATCGAGTGACTAGTTTTGATATTTATCATTGCGACTAACACAAGAAAAAAATGTGGTGATATGTATCATGATTAATCTTGATGAAATGAACAAAAAACACATTTGTTGAATGAAAACATGTCAGATCATGATCATCTATACTTAATGTTTACTTTGTTTCATCTTTAAAACCTTACCATAGTGTGGCGATGTTTGCTTCTTTGTATTTGACATTGAAGAAGCCGAGTTATTGTATGAATCCGAATAATAACCACTTTCAACTTGCCATCCATGAGATGATGATGATGATGGAGGACAATGAATATTAACTATTGATGCCCGTGACGTTGTCATAATCTAAAGTTAAATGAATAGAATATGAATATTTAAAAAAAAACGAATCAAGCTCACATTATATTCTTTCTTCCTTTCTCTTCTCTTCTCTATATGATCAAATTTCTCTTCTCTTGTTCTCTTATTCTCTATTTTTTTATCGTTCATACATTTATTATACGTGTGTGTGTGCATCATCTGTGATTAAAACAAGACAGATGAATATCAACATATTTACTTCTCGACTTTGCTCGCGTAATACTAATAAAATGCAAGAAAAAGAAAGGAAATAAAATAAAATAAAGATGAAGAAATTAGACAGCTTCTGTTTCTCTTTGAATCTTATAACAGACTCGTATCAATATCGATATTGTTGCATCAGGAGAAGGAGAAACGAGAGAGAGAGAGAGAGAAAGACGACTTTTCGTGCTGTAAATCATCAGCAGACTAAGAGACTAGTCTCATCTTATTACTTAATAATGACAGCTCGACTCAATCAATCTGTATCATCAATATTGACTTTCTAGATCGGATCAGATAGCATATATTGCTCAGAGATTATTTGTGTTTCGTTTTCTAATTATAATCATTGAGAAATAATACGCGATTGAAATAATAAAATCTCTTTTGATTAATTATATTGATAAAATCTATCATGAAACGCTGACTAGTCGTATATGTTTACGTGTTGTTTCTATTTTTATAGAACATACTTGATTTTATTGAATATCAACAGGAGAAGAGGAAAAAAACAGACGAAAAAGTTATTATCCTTCGGCAAGGTCTTACAATATTTATATTATGCAGAAATGATCCATACTTTCATTGAGTATGTGTGATCTTATTGACATTTGACTGAGCACATACACACATGGTCAATCTTATTATGATAGTAATAAAATGACTGCCAATGTCATATAATCGGAATCCTCAAAATATTTCTTACGCTCATTTTCTCTCTCTCGAATAACTGACACATGAACGTTAAACGTGTATCATCTCACTCTATTTACACAGTGAAGGGTAATGGGTGAGTACTTCTTCTCCTCTTATATTGAATGTTTTTGTTCAATCGATAAAAACGACAAATAAATCTAATCTCACACCATGCAGCAGCATATTTCTTTTTTGCTTTCGTATGTATGCATGTATGTATATATTTCTCTAATGATTTCGATTGAACATTAGGATATCATCGAACCATCATTTGATTCATATCACTCAATGAATATGGAGAATAAATTAAAGCAAGCTGGGTTCATGTGTATGCCAAACACAATAACTGTCAATCAACACACGTACACAAAAGTGAAACATGTGCTGATCACCACAGGTGATTTTATTCAAATAAGACAAAGAGAAACCAAGTGCTTTTCTTTCTCTCTCAATTAATGATCTAAACTAATAGTACAATAAAAACATACAAAAAAAAATTCTATATACATATCTATGTCGCTATATATGTCGACTAACGGGCTGGAAGGAATCACTTAATTGTAAATTGAATTGACTTGACTCGAAGCAATGCTATGCTTATCAGCACGCTTCATTTCGTTATGATTTCTTCTCTCCCTTTTCTTTCTTAATATAACTTTACAAGATATAGACAAAAAAAGATGATTGTTTGAAGCCTTATTTTAGACTGGTATATAAATGCAAAATAAGATGCAATTCGAAATGAATATGAAGCCTAAGCATCAGAGAACAAATAGGTATTCATAAGGAGAAGAAGAAGAAGAAGAAGAAGAAGAAAAAGTCACTTTTATAGTTAGGTGAGGTCAATTAATCATAAGAAAAACAAAAATGAAAAGATATCTTATCGATTTTCGAGACGCAATACTTACGACGACAAGTGTTCACACACACTTCACCTATGAATATCTTACATAGACAACAGAAAAATATGAAAGAAAAAGGGTTGATCTGACTTTAGCCCTAAGCGTTTACTTTCCTCTTCAAGTCGTCATTTGATTTGGAGTCAATTATCAAAAAGAAAAAACAAGACAAAAAAACTAACTCAACGAACGATAGCATAGATATATGGAAATAGAAACCAATCTTTGATCATTGACATGTGTTCATTTCTCATATTTACTATTTTAATTTAAGTGCACCTGTCTTATTTCCACGCACGAGTACAAAAGAAAGACGAAATGTAACATTTAAGACATATCTTTTTTCAAGTTTCAACATGCACAAAAAGAAGAAGAAGAACAAGAAGAGAATAGTCCTTGATCATATGAACATCTGTGGACCTTCTTGACCCTCACCGCTAATATCTTTCGAAGCCGTTCACACATAAATTTTTATATCTCTATATTTATTCTCTTTGACAAAAGGCAGCTGGCTCACCTGGTCATCAAATCTTGGTCATTTAATTGATTCATTTAAACATATGGAAACATATATGCGCTTGAGATAACAGTCGAATCGACGAACAATACGGCGTCGTCGTAAACAAGTTTATTACTTAGCTTTTTCGTATTGTGTTCGAAACAATGAAGTTTATTTCACGCTCGAGCTATGATAACTATGCAAATACGTAGACTATAAGAAAATAAAAAATGAACATCATGGACCACGATGATCGAGTATAGCAAAAGAAGTAAACTACACATTCCCAGATAATGCACTTATTTCGGCTATTAATTTACATACACACATAGAATGAAGACAACGGCTGTTACTAAGACTGCAAGTACGATAAACCATGCACGAAATAGATATTTGATCGGTCCCTCGAGGACATCAGGACGACGATGCATGATAGAAAAAAAAAAATGATAAAAATTTGTACAGACTGATACAAAACAAATTGATCATCAACTATGAAAGACAATGACCTCAGCGGAAGAAAAAGATTGAGCGCTGACATAACTTTTTCTTTTTTTTTTCTTCGACGAATGACAAGCAATCGTTTGTGGTCAGTTAGACTTAACATCTCAACAGCTCGTTAGGGTTCCTAGAAGAACTCGCTAGTGAAAAGAAAAGAGCAAAGCAACTTATCGATTCATCGATAGATTCATCATTTTTAGACAAGCATGGACAATACTTACGACGAGACTTCTTCATACATAGTAGTAATCAAATGAAGTGAATCAAGTCAAAAATGCATGAAGACAACAAAATGAACATCGTCATAATTCATCTCTTTTCTCATCTATCGGAGACATACTGTTAAATCCACTCGACAAAGAGAGGATAGTAGGGCGGTGATGTTCAAATTGTCCTCTTGAAAAATTAGTACACAGCTGTGTCGAACTACTTAGACAGACAGGCGTAATTTATTTGAATCCAAAGAGTTACCAAGATGAAACTAACTCGAATTGAATCGTTTTGTTGATCACAATAATAGCAAAAGAAATAAAAAATTATTTATCTATTTTTAATTGTTTTTTTATCAACAGCTGCGACGATCTTGTTTGTATGTGTCAAGTTGACATTTATTTCACGATTAAGAAAGTTGATAATAGGCCACTGTTGGTCATTCAATACTCGAGACATAATAATGTCTGTTAAACGTCAAACCTTCTGCAAAGGAAGGAAATGTGGCGTGTTGCCAGACAATAGATACATACGTCTCTTTAAAAAGAAGTATTGACGGAAACAAATCGTGAGTGGCACGAGGCGAGAATTATTATCTATACTTTTTTGATTGATGATCGGTGTGAACTTTTCAAAAAAAAAATTTATGACGGAAATACAAACGTCATCTTTAGATTATTTCTTTGTTGAAATGCGAAAGATTTCTATCATTAAAAATTAGCGTATGCATGAGAAAAAAGAATTTCCATAAAATATACAATACTAAGTTACATAAAAACAGAAATATATCAAATAGTAGTCAAAATTGACGATTGTATCGAAGGACAAATCTATCGTTATTAATTGTTGTATAGAGCAAAATAAGTTTCCAAATGAAAAAAACAAAACAAACCAAAGAAACGCAATTCATAGTAGTCTGAACTACGTAGTAACATGACTTTTATTTTGTTTCTTTTGTCTAATAATAGGATAGATTATATTACCAATAGAATTCTAATTTAGTTTTATTTGTTCATGTAATGGATATTTACAACAAATTCATACAATTGACTTTTTATTTTTCAATACTATTAGCAATATTTAAACAGCACATTTACACTTGATGAAATTGAATGCAATTAAACCTTGACGACTGGCTAACAGAATGAAACGCAACTTTACATGTGCTTTGAGTATTTCACAATCGTCGTAACAAATTACGACACAAATATACGTAAAACATTCATCGATGAGTCATGTTTGTTGCCTATACAAATATAACACTTGAGTTGCTGTCACATGATAGGTATCCTCTCATATAAAAAGAAGTTACCATTCTACATTTAAAGTATTTTTTGTTTATTACAATGTCGACGTCAAATAATTTTTCTAGTAAACAAATGCCTCAACACAATACAAATACTTCTATGAACCAATCACTATCTGTATACGTTGGAAATCTTTCATTCAACACAATCGAAGAAGATTTAAACGCATTTTTTAATGAAAAATGTGGAAATGTTAAACGAGTTCGTATTATCTATGATAATAATACACAGCAGAGTCGTGGTTTTGGTTTTGTAAATTTTAATACAATAGATGGGTATAATGCTGCATTGCAACTTGAAAATCGTGTATTAGATGGTCGAGAACTGCGTATTGCACCAGGTGAAACAAAAAATTCTTCTTCATCATCTTCCAATAATGCAAAGGCATTTGCTGGCGCGTCAAACAGCACTGCAGTATCTCAAGCAACAAATAAACCTAGAACACAAGTAGTTCATTGTAAAAAATCAACTTATGATGTTTACATTGGCCGACCTTCAGATTGGGGTAATCCATTCGTCATTGGAAAAGACGGTGATCGAGCAGATGTTATTAGAAAGTATCGACAATGGATAATGCGACAACCAGATTTATTAGTTCGAGCTAAAAAAGAACTTCGTGGTCAAAGAATTGCATGTTGGTGTAAACCCGAAGCTTGCCATGGTGATGTCCTTGCGGAAATAGCTGATGCCGATTGAATAATATATTTATGATAGTTTCTCTGCACAAATTCGCTTCTGAATCTATTTTAATTTATGGCTATTCATTGGGTTTATTACTTAAACATTTAATTCTGTTGGATTGAATCTCGTTTAAAAAGACTGATTTGTATGTGACTGCGAAAGATTTTGCCTTGAATATGATTTGTTCATTGAATAAAACAAAGATTTATGTACGACATTTATCGTGATATTACATTGTGAGTACCGAATTTAAGTATTTTAAAGAGATTCTAAACTATATTTACATCACCGTAGTGTCTATCTATTGAATAGCTATATATTTTAAGATTTAATATATAATAATAAAGTCATGAATCAATGGACATGAAAAAATTCCGTTGGAAACAATAGACATGAAAGTTTTACTTATGTTTCTTGTCGAAAAATGTCTTTTGTTTTCAGCATAGTTGAGTTTTGTCTCGATTTACCATTCACAATATATATATCTATCTATCTAATCGAGTAGAAACTTTATTCAGTTTACAATACGAAATGCTTCGAGCGCCTACATATTCTTTTCAAGAACATGAAGCACGGTTTTTTTTATTACTTGAGTTCTCATAACAAAACATAAAATTAAGACAACATAAGAAAAAACAAACCCTGAGTTTTTCAGGGATACCTTTTAATGGCTTCATCTATTCATTAAAATTCAAGGAAAGTAAAAAGGAACTAAAAAAATAAATGCAAATGCCTTGAGTAGTATATAATATTTATAATAAGCAAAAATGAAAACGCAATCAGACATATAGGAATACACAGTGTCCAATATTTTATAGAAGTAAGTATTTCAAAATTCAGATGCTAGAATAAATTCTATTGCTCACATCGAAACATATTCAGCAACTTTCCAATACTAATGAAGTATCATTCTTCCGTATCGCTAAAAATAGGTCAGAGCAGGTAATCTTGTTAGGTTTTTTCTTTTTGATAGAATAATAGCATTCAATATTTTGAAATCAAATAATAAATCGTGAGAAAAAGATGTAACTTTCTTTTTTTGTTCTGTTTTATTATTGATATGATCAATTTACATCCGACATTCAGAAAGTTAAGATAAGAGAAAGCATGTAAACAAAAACTATTCATTATTGCTCTTTCATCTTGATATTTTTCAAGACTTCTATCTTCATCCAACAGCATGGTATGATTTTTTGGACATATATTCTTGTTTCTCCATTATTGTGAATAATCGTTTTTTATACCTTGAATAGTAGAGAAGAATTTCTACGAAATAGTTAGTGTCAACGGAAAGAATTCTAGAATGATGATGATGATGATGATTGTTTTCTTTGACAATAGAATGAAAACAACAGATAAGAATGTAACGCGTATATCACTTGATATAGCTAGCTATCCATGTTTATGATTCGTTTGTTTAGAAGCACTAATAAATGAGAGACATCTAATAAGTGGCAAACTGTGTTCGTGTCAGCTAGAATAACAATCAGAACAGTTGCAAGTAGTTAAGTTCTTTTTTTTTTTATAACAACTTAAGATATTGATCTCGTATAATCAATTCCATAAAAAAAATAAAGAATTTATAGACATGTATTGAAGATAAAGATATAGCGGTGAAGGACAGTTTTAGTTTTAGTACATTGATTTGTTCTCTTGTTTTATTTCACATTGAAAATATCGATTAATGCAGAAAAATGTTTATCTCCTTACATAAAGAACTGCTAGTTTGAGAGTACCATTTTCCCATTCTTGAGGATATTGATCTAAACTTTGTGGCTACTATTGTCCTGCTGTGCTCTTTTCCCCGTGTATACACACATATACATTTATACACCAACATGTTCGTAGCTAGTCTGACCGAGAGGTGAAGCCAAAAAGAGAATAAATGCTGATAGAGTACTGTTCTGATAACATCTGAAGAGAACAGAAAATAATGACGAGTAGTAGTATCAACCATGGCGGTCACAGTCATAATAATAAAGAACATATATACGTAACGGCAAGGAAATACTCAAGCACATAGATTCCTCTCGATTGCCTAGACACAATGATGGATGTTCATGACAGAAGAAATGTAAGTTCTCTTTATTTTTATTACGCGTGCGTGCGTATTTATGCACGTTTTTTCATCAATGCACAAGATCGTATGTTGCATTTATCAATATGATAATACTGAAAAAGAAAAATAAGAACGTTTGCTAATCGAATTCAGCGACAACTGAAGACAGTACGAGCAAATATCATCGCTGTCCCTCCTTAACCAGATTCTAAACTTATTTTATGTATTACGACTTCGATAAGCGATAAGCAAAAGAGGAAGGGAAAGGGAAAGTCGTTTTACTCCGTCTGGTCGTTCTCTCATTCAAGAGAATCAGTTATCGAAAGATCGCAACGCATTTATTCAATACATAATTTTTGGTTAGGTGACTTACATGCGATACCTGTTGATATGGTTTTTCAACGATCAAAGGAATCTATAATGGTAAAGAGCTTCAGTATTGAATGTTATCTTAACTTGAAAAGAAAAATAAGAGACAAGAGAAAAAGCCCAACATTATTTTGTTATTCTTTGGTTTCGAATACATTTTTTTCTTTTAGTTTTTCCTTTTTCTTGTTTGCTTTTTTATTCTCAATGTCTTCTCTCCCGATCGTTTGGTTTGTTGTTAATGTTCTTCAAACAAACTAAATTAATGTACAGTCAAAATGTAGATGACGATGGAAAAAAAGAAAAGAAAAATAATTAAGTAAATAACTGTTTGAGGCAAGTATTCACTCATATACGTTACGTGAATGCGTAGGAATCAGTAATAAAATATAGAAGTGTAACAAATACCTAATATGTATATATATATAGGCACCATATACGTGCGCACCTTAAATCAATTCTGATGATGAAGATCGAAATCGAAGAAAAAATTATATGCACATGGAAAAATTTTGAGACATCTTGTCTGCATTCAGTTTCTTATAAATGAGTTTCTACTGATAAAAGCTAAATAGAGAGACTATATCATGACGAAGACAACTTTATGTATACAATAATTTCATACTATGCAGAGGGAATAGTATACAGCATTGTTGTTTTAACGAAAACATAGTACTGCGCATATGCATATATTTTTTCATATGTGCACATAGTACATTCAAAACGGATAACAGAAATGAATTATAAGATGAATCACTTGACGGAATGTACATAGAAGAATAAAAAAAATCTGCACGTTCTTCTTACTAGACATTTGACTGCGTAACATCATTATTTCATCTATTATCTGGCCTTATTTTTTGTCTGTCTTCTTGTGGTGGTGGAGGTTATTAGTGTCAAATTATTTGATTGTCGTTAAGGTTAACATTTTATTCAATTTTCTTTTCGATTCTAAATTTTTTTAATATCAATGACTAGAGTTAATTTTTCTTTCTATTGATTCTGAAGTTTCTTTTATCGTTGTTTCTCAAGTGTCTCTAAGACATTTACTTATTCATAAATAGGTATCACGATTTTTTTCTCATTTCTTTCGTTTCTATCGTGTTTGTTCCATTTTTTTTCATACACATACATGCGTGTGTGCGCGTCTTAAGTCTTCAAATCACATGTCAATAATATGATGCGACGAATCAGTACCCAAAGCAGCAGTAGCATTAGTAGTTCCAGCAGCAGTAACAACGGCAAATCTCATGTAGATTTATTTAAGAAGCAAAAAAATATTTTTATGTCAATTAAATTTCTGATTAAATATGTACATATTTAGGTCAGCTTTGACGGTAGTCAATCGACTCCGGTATCCTCATCGATGGATAAAGAACATTATCGACAAGTACCATATAGATTTTTAAGCAACGAATCAAATACAGATGCTTGTAAATTGGAAAAATTAACTAATCTATTTCCTGATATGAAAACAACAATTGAATTAGGTATTATTTATTTATTATTCAATAAAAATAAGCAAAAAAGAAAACATTTTATGCTTTTGTGTTTTATGTTAAAGAATTATTTAAAATCAATAACTTGTCGCGTACAATCGATCGTCTTTCACGTGTATACACAGTTTTAACGGCTTTGGATGTTCGTGATGATACCCTACATTTATTTCTCGGTCCATATCATCTTTCACTTGGTCCGGCATTATTTGCAGCAATGAATTTTAAAAATGCTTCAACAGCATTACTTGTTAATTCACATCCAACGTCATCAGCTACGACTGAGAGTCATCGACGTAAGCGTCGACGTGAAGTAGTACTTCGTCGATTTCGTCGTGTGGTACGAAAATTAACACTTGTGATATCAATTATTAATGAACTTCGAGCAGCTTCAATTCTTACTCCCTACAATCAATATGAATTATATAAACGTGGAATTTATGATCTTGTTTTAGCTGGACGTAAAGAATCTTCGAATTCTATGTTTTCAAAGAATGAATTTATGGAGGAACTTGAAAATTTAAATGTAGAAAAAAGTTCAGGAGAACGAAATCCTTTACTTGCATCGAATTTTACTAAAATTAATCATCTACTTAATCTAATTTCTTCGTCTCAACAACAGCAACAACAACAACAACAACAACAGTCACATATATTAGAAAATTCAATGACAAGAGCAAATAGACAGATAATCAAAATAACATCACAAGAATCATTTGTGAATGCAGTCAATAATGATCCTTCATCATTAACAGATCCTACATCATTACGAGATTCTAATACTGTATGTTGCGCACTTCATCGTCAAAATTCACCTTATTTTATGCTTCCTATTCGTTCAACAATGAGTCCTCCAACTAGTCAAATGATATCAATCGGATCTCGTTCAAGAAATAGCAGCCAATCCAATACACATAAAACTGTGTCTATTCTTTCAAGGCAAAGTACGGTATGTTACATATATAGAATATATCTATGCATATGTAAAGTACATATAAAATCATCATGCAAATGTACAATAAATGTGACGAATACTTTGAGTCTTATTTTCTTGTGATTACATTATGTTTGTGTCTAGCACACAAATATGTGTGCCACTCCGTAGGTCTTTCTCTTTCTATCGATATAGCTACGTACATAAGAATAGAGACAAATGATCTCCTTTGTCAATTAGCTCTTTCGGTCATATATCCTGTTCCGCTTTAACATAATTACGTAATGTGAAAGAAATGTCTAATCAAACAGGTTATCGTTTTCTTCTTCCGTTTTATACAATAGGCCAATAGTCTACCTGAATCGATTGTTGATGACGGTTCCAATCATGATCTAACAACTACAACATCACCACCACCACCATCACTATCACCATCACCAAGATTATTCCTTGCAGCAACAAAATCAAATTCGCTAGAAATTGAATTAAAAACACCAACACAATTAGTTGAATCAAATCTGTTTGCTTCATCATCTCATGCCTTTTTATCTTCGTCGATCATCAATGAAGAGGACGCTCTTATTAATAATATTTCATCTCTATTAACAACCCATTTTTTATCTCGACAATCGCCATCAACAGCATTAACAACGTCTAGTATTGCCCATGAACATGAGACCAATTCAAATTTAAGCGATAGCGCTATTTCTCTTTCAACTGGTGGTACAACAGGAGCAATTAATAGTTCTCTTATTTCGAATCAATCTTCATCGTCAATTATCACTAACGAAATCGATAAACTTTTACAACGCATCAAGACAGCTGTTGATAACAGATTATCAATCGAAATAATAAGCAATAATAGAATGCGTCAACCACAGAGCACATATCAAACTTTGACATCGACTCCTTTAAGAACGACGGCAAGTAATCGTCGTCAACAATTACTTGCATTACATGCTGTATCATGTCAAGACAGGCATACAGATGAATACGATGTAGAACAATCTTCATTGTCCAATAGCAAACATAAATTGCATTATTCATCCAAATCACAATCCTTCGATGCGACCACCTTAAGTAAGCATTATAATAAAAGCTTGACATTCATTATGCTTGAGTTTATCATATTATGCTAACAAGAATATAACTATGCGCATCGCTTAAGTAAATATAGGCTTTTTATTGACACTACTTGTATGTTTTAAGCTCAATAGGGATGTCGGTTATTGTCGCTTGATTTAAATGCTCTGCTAATGATGATAGAAAAACAAAAAGAAAACACAACGATAAAAATCATATCATTAATTGCTATGCATCATTTTATTTTAGTATAATCAACGTCCAAATCTGAATCGGAGTATAACTCAACAAGATCCTTGTCTATTGGTTAATTTTTATTCTAGCAAGAATAATCTCTTTGTTTTTAATTATTGTTTAAAATATATTTTCAGTTTTTTCGTCTCTCGTCTGTTCTCGTTCATTCATTCATTCATTCATTCATTCATTCATTCATTCATTCGTTCTTTTTGTCGTTAAATCGACAACAATAACCTTGACTTGTACTAGTATTTGATCGATATTGTTAATAGTGAGAGGCTGCACCACCTTGTTAATGTGACTATATTTATCAATTTGGCAACATCGGCTCTCCTTGGAACTGGTTCTTGTCATAAATAGAGTCGTATAATAATAAAAAAAAAAAAATAATATCTCAATACAAATGTCTTCTTCTCATTCCTTTTTTTTTGTTAACTATAAAGCCTAGAACATTATGCATACCACATAGAAAATAAGAAAGAGAGAATGAGAAAAAGTGAAGGTGTCAAAACGCGTCGAGTCTAATTGCATGATCACATAAAAGTAAGACGTTTTTTTTTTATTAGTAATATATGTATGCGGTTGATTTCGATCAATAGATTGAGAAAGTTGGTCTATTGACTGTAAATACATTTTTATAATTACACAATCACCTACTTGACGACAACGGAGTAATGAAAAAGATGTACACATATGCATGTTCTGACATATATGACATGTTCATCATCAATTTACTGTTGAAAGGTTTCATTTTATTTACATGTACATTCGTCTCTATGTATATATGATCAAATCTTATCAAAATTGATATCATTTGTATAACAAAAAAGATTCGTTTTACTTCTTTTTCTGTTCAACATTATTTCCTCGATATTGATCCTGTTTACTTTTCAGTTTAAATATATTTGAGTACACATCATGCCATACAAACATACTCATTGGAAGCAGTATTACAGTCTTGTTGTTATTTCAAGTTCAATTTTTTTCTTCCATTATGTTAGTAGACAGTTACAATGGTGAGTGAGTTGTACATTGGTCAATGTTGTGTTGTTCATGACAAATGTATATGTGAGTTCTGTGGTAGTAAAGAAAATAAATATATATATATGAAAAACAAAGAAAAAAATTGTGCAGTCTAACACTCATACACCATGAGAAAGTTAAAGTATGTATTGCACAGTCATTGATCAACATTTTCATCCTCAAGTCGAAACGAGAAAGAAAAGAATAAAAAAGAAATTATTATTCATCTATCTATTGTAGATAGTCGTGATGCGATAACAACAACAATAACAACAATAGATACAAAGAATAACGTTTACGAAATGGTAAGAAAAATATTAGCTTTTATCTTTGTTAAAAACAGTTTTTATCTTTTATTTTCTATTTTTTTTATGGAATCTCCTAGACAACTTTTCATTCTGATGAAAAAGGTGTTCAAACTGATCCTCGTATTCGACACGCTCGTTCAGTAAAAATAACCTGAATTTTGTTTTTTTTTGCAAATTTATATCGGTATATTTATATTTAAGAAGCTGCTAGAAACATTACAAGAATATGTCACTGCTGTTATTCGTTTTCGTCAACATTTATTTAAGCAATATACACAATCAAATACTTATTACGAACAACATTACAGTGCCATGCCTGAGCTACAACAATATGAATATCGAGATTTAATGAACGTACGAAAAGAGATTCTGAATCGATTCGAATGGGTTCTTAATGAACTTGAACAAACAATTGAAAATTTACAAGCACGTCGATTATCAGTTGCTGATGCTCAACGTTCTATTAACAGGCCGATAGTTAAAGAAGTATGAAACATTGTGTCTACTCCAGTAACATGAATTTACAATTGCTTTTCTTTTTTCTTTTCTATCATTAGGTAATTGAATCATCTCTCAATGCCGAAATACCACCTGTTGATGAACATCAAGCAAATCTTCTAAATGATCGACAACGGTCTATGCCAAGTGAAGATGAATGGCGAATGTATGCACGTGATTTACAAGATACCAAAGAAGATTTATATTTCATTGATTCGCTTGTTCATCGTGGGATCTCTAAGGTTTGCATTCGTTTCAGAATATTTATAGAAAATGAATTTAATTTTTCTCTGCATTTATTAGATAGATCGATTGGTAGCATTTTCAAATCTCTATACATAGCTCATGGTTGGATCTGATTTGATTAAGCATACAAAAAAAAAATATATATATATATATATATATGCTACTTTTTTGTTTATTACTATTTTGTAAATTTATTTCTTTTAGTCAGTTTAGTTCATATGCGCACATACGGTGATATATTTTTGTTCCTATTTGTGCCTATTCTAAATTTACTTGTTTTTCCTTTTGTTTTTTTTTGGCTATGTGTGTCTTTTTTTGCCTATATCAACGTTTTAATCTTCAGAAAAAGAAAAAATTTTTAATAACCGTGAATAGATAACAAAGAAATCGTTTTTCTTTCTCATACATATCCAAATATCAGTTAAACATTCTAACATGTACACACGTGGTATGTATAGAAGTGGGAAGGAATTTAGAGGAAATCATATGAGACTAACATCGAACAGTCCATTTATATTCGTACAGGCATCGTGATGGGTACGGTAGAATCCAAAGTTAATCATCGATATAGAACTAGCAAACATCGTCTTTGTAGAAATGAAAGACCCCTCGTTCACAATTGTTATCATAAAAATAAACAACTGGAGGCAACACGAAATGTTGGAAATAAAAATCTGTCAAGAGGAATTGATGACACATTGGGTGGGTCATTATTGTTCATGAAGATATTCAGAAGTTTATTTTTTATTTTTATGATTAGTATCACTTACAAGTTCGCCATTGAATCCTAGTTTGCAAGGTTCAGTATTACATTATTCATTTCCTATGCAACGATCTCATTCCGAAATTCAAATAATATCAAATGAGTTATCAAATCATCACCTAGGAGGGTATAAAGTTACTTTATTTTTGAATCTTTCTATAAATATATTTTCATTCTATTTATTTCTTCTTGAATAATAGAAGTTTTGAGGGCGGTGAACAATTCGATCATATTTCTTATGATTATCAAAAACATATGGAACGTGTTGATGAAGAAAATCGTCCTGTATTAGAAGGACTTTGTCCTGATAAAATGTATGTTTCAACCAATGATCTTCGAATATGTGACACTCAACGATTACCACCACCTCTACGTTGTAAAATGACTCAAGGCTTTTTTCGACCTATTCCTCCAGCAGAATTTTATCAAAAGAAAACTACATTAAATCCATCATTTCTTTAATGATGACAAAAAAGAAACAGAATTAAATCAATCATTCTAACTTTTCTAAATAAAGTGTTCACTTAATTGTTAATCATTTTTTGATTTATTCAATTCTAATTCCATATTTTGACGTGTTACTCGTAGCATATGCCATCCTTCTTTTTCTGTTAAATCTAAAGCTCCACGAGTTTTATAAAATTCGATTGCATCTGTATTCCAATTGAGTACATTAAAATTAAGTCGTGCACAATTTGTGTCAACAGCAATCTATAAATATATATATATATATATGTGTCTCATCGAAATCAATAAAAGATTGAAAATGAAATTTACTTGATATGTTGCAGAAAAAAATGCTTTCCCAATGCCACGTTTTCGATAGTCCTCTTCTATGTATAGATCTTCAAGATGCAAACATTTTCCTTCCCATGTTGAATAAACATTGAACATTAAACACATTCCAACGATTCGTGATGATGAATCATTTAAATCTTACAGCAAGAAGAAAACTAATTTTAATTTGAAATTTACTCAATTTTATACCTTCAGCAACTAAACAACTATATAATGGACGCTCACCAAATCCATCTTGTTTAAGAGCTAATTTATATAATTTATCATAATTACATCAGGATAGGTTTATTTATTTTCTGTCTTACTTTCACTATTGATTCGAACCTGATCGGGTAGTTTTTCAAACACAGCTAATTCCTAAAATTACAAATTCAAAAACAAATTATTCACTTAATCGCAAAATACTATTTTTATACATTAATTAATCTCATAATATGATCGCAATCATTTTCAACAGCATTACGAATTAGAAATTTTGATTCAAGTAATATTGGTTGTTTCAGCATCTTTTTTTCACAAAAAAGATTCGATACTGACGTCATTTTTTATCAATAATAATGTATTTTTATTCTATTCGACAACTAAGAGTATAACATTTTAAATGTAAAAATTCAAAGATGACACTAGACGACATTTCGCATTGAAAGTTGAAAATAAAATCAAAACGAAATTTACTTTTGTTCGGCAAAAGTCTCAGTCCATTGTCAATTGTTTTTTGTTTACTAGTCAAATATATATCTAAAACTAAATTCATTAAACGAAATCTATCATATCCTATTTTTAGAAACACATTCGAAAAAAGCAATAAAAAGTAGTCGACTTCTACATTCTTCTACAGCCCGAAACGTTTTTCACTCGCTTATTTCTTGCTCACATTTGTTATTTGACGTTATTGTTAAAATACGTCCTTCGAATAGTTCGAAGCTTTTTCTGTTAATTGCTGGTACTGTCATATACCCTCATACGTTAATCAATTTAATCGATGATTTATGTATCAATAAAATCTATATCAATACTGATTCATCGTTTCGTTGTACAAGTGTGTAAGGAGGTGTGTACGAGATTTATTACTATATTTTTCTGCCTACTAAACCCCATCTGCATAGATCGTCTAAACGACGAATGTTATTTATAGGAAGAAAAAATGTATAAAGACGAATAATCTCTGCTTTACTAGTGAGATAGAAAATACGAATATTTTTATTCCTCAAAAAAGAACTGAGAATATAAATATAACCCACACCCTCAAGATTTATTTTATTTTAAAATGTCTTCATAAAATATCTTGAGCCAACTCGTGGAAGAAAATATTTCAAAGTGATATGAAGTTGTTCTTAGAAAAGGCAAAGTTATATGAAAGAAAATATTGACATTTAACTTCGAGTACGAAAGAAATAACATTAAACAAAAAAGAATATATAAGTTGTTGTTTTTTTTCTTTAGTTTAACGAATATTCTAGAAGTAAATTTTATGCATCTTTCGATAACTACGAAAAGCACGTAGATTTTTTTTTAATGATTCATTATTTTCTGCCGCTTCGCAATGATCAATCATAAAGAACATACATGGAATTACTTTTGGCATTTTAATGTTGTACGATTATTCATCATTTTGCCTTTTATTTTTTCTATTATTTATTGACTATAAAAGAAAAATCGTTTTTTATGCTATTGGATATCTGTTACGAACGCAGCAAGGGAACAAAGGAAACAGTATACATGTATAATACATATTCGTGGCTTCTCTCTACAACATAAACGATTATCGATGAGTAGTACATGTAATTTCAGAGAAGAATTAATAAATGTTCTTCATTTCATCTCGCACGAAATTATACAGGGCGAAGGGCTGTGCAAACATGAGATTGAGACAGGAGAAACGGGAGATTTGGTGTATAGATTACATACTTTAAAAAGAAAAAGAGAATTCTCAACCCTTTCAATGTGTAAATGTAATCGGCAAAGAAGCAGTGCATATGTAAAAGTAAAATTACAGGTTGATGTGAGGGTACAAAATCTAGAGAAGAAAAAAATGACAAAATAAGAGAAAGAGAGCTTTGTGTGTATAGACCCAGCTAGGTATCATTATTATTCAATCATATTAGTAGTTAAACTCACTGATATGATATAATCTGCATTTATTTTCCAGATACAGGATGTCCATCAGCAAGAAACAACAAATTCGTGGTGTAAGAATTCTATTAACTGTTTTCTATGGATTTCTTCTATCAAGTATTCTTTTCCGTTATATTATCCATGGAATTGTTGAAACAATTCGTCGACCAACAAATCCATATGCTATTTCAATGATCGTTCTGGGTATGATTATTCTTATTTCGATCGCTTTAGCAATCTATGCTACATGGTATGTAGTCGATTTATTTTCTCTGTCAAAATCTGTACGTTTGTTATTCAAATTTTTATAATTTAGGTTCGACAATACGATCATAATGTTAGTATCCGGTATTGTGCTCATTGTAGTATTTATTTTAACACTCGTTTTTGGTATTATTCGTATTGTCAATACTGCACCTCTTCGCGTAGTAAGTGCAACAACTCAGAGAAGTTCTGTGATAGATGGTGCCATTGATGACTCGCATCAATCAAACGATGAATTAACAAAATCAAACGCAACTAAAACGGATTCTTATGCTATTATTGAAGATGTGACAAAATTAATCATCGAATTAGTAGCAATTCTTTTTGCAATTCTAGCTACTTTCATTTTATATCGATACGTTAAATCAAAATATGATCCCGTAGCAACAAAAGAACCTGCAACAACAGCAACAACAACAGTAAAATAAAAATATAGATCAATAATTATTAAACAGGATTTGCTTTTTTTCCTCATAATTAACTTTTTTTTATTCTGCGCGCTTATATATGCTTCTTTTTGTAGGATCTCAGAGATAATATGGCCAGCTCGTTACGATTTATAATAAATTTTAAAAATAGTCTACTATGAAAATAACATTCGTAGTAATGCAAAGAAAAAAAAGGACTGGAAATTTCCCCATCGTAATGATTGTTGCAATTACGGGCGCCACCAGAAAAAAATGTAGGGAGGGAGGGGAGTAAGTCTTTGGTCAAAGCTATCGTAGGAGGGCGACTGAACTTATTATTTCACATGATTTTATTTTTTAGGGGGCGCGCCCCC